CGTCTCGAGCCTATCGGACCTATCTCCTGGCAGTCGAGTAAGCAGGAACTAATCGCTCTCTCTTCAGCTGAAGCAGAATATATCGCCCTCTGTTCAGCCACCAAGGAAGGACTCTACCTTCGCGAGCTGCTGGAAGAAGCAAAGTTAGCCGAGTTACCCAACTTCACCCTGTTCTGCGACAACCAATCTGCAATTCGCATCGCCAACAAAAGCGGATTCGCGAACAGAACGAAGCATATCGCTCTGCGATACTTCTTCCTAAAGGACGAGATCGAGAAAGGGAAACTCGAATTATCCTACTGTCCCACGTCCGAGATGGCAGCCGATTATTTGACCAAGAAACTCGGAAAACAAAAGTTCGAGTACTGCATGCTGCTGATTGGACAAGGCCACGTCACCATCAGCGACACTCCAGAAGCGAAGGGGAGTGTTGGGAACAATAAGTCTTAAGCGCCTCTGTCGTGTCGAAACTCAGGACACTAGCGAAGCAGTCCGAATCGAAGCATCGCGAGTCAACCCTCGGAGGTTAGGGTAACCGCCTGGAGGTTACAGGAAAGTCAAAGGTCAGCGACCTTTGACTCGACAATTACAGCGCGACAGCAAGGACACACAACTGACTCGACATTGAGCAGTTGCCCGAGTCGCACTGTATCGAATCGCAACAGTAAAACGGTTTGAATTTATCTATTCATATTCCTTGTACTCTTATATAAACCTTTGTATTTGCTTGTTTAATCAACTTACTTTGCCCTCACATACTAGTGCAAGGTGGTTCAATCACTCTTTATTTCAACGCTTCCGCTATTACAATCCTACTCAGACCTTAAGCTCTACAAAGATCCTAGGGCTTCTCAGCCCAACATCTATGATACCACAGTGGTCTATTGAAAGTGTCAATGATAGGTATCAAGCATCAGCTACAGGTACAGCTCAAAACATGTGGTTGAATAATTGTACAGCGTACTGAATGATAGGCTTCATACACTCATGGTGTCAGTGGTGTTGCGAGCACGTGCAAATCATTTCTACAGATAATGTTGCAGCTGCTACCACGTTAGTACGGTATGTGCAACTAGCACAGACCCGCGATCTTAAGTACGGTAGTGAAAACACAGGCTAACAAGGCCGGAGGGATCTTCTTCCCGATCTTGTGTGTTGGTTCAAACTCCTTGAGGGACGCCTTGGTCAGAAACACGAGAGCTGGAACAGCTGCGCACACGGCAGCAGCATTGACTAATGCCCGCCTTGTCAAGTTCTTGGCAAAGCTCTCCACGAATCGTTCAAACTCGGCACGGTCCAGCACGCCATCGCTATTCAGGTCAAACGTCTGGCAGGGAACAGTCAAGCAAGCAGAAAAACCGGAGTTTGAACGTGAAACGCTGCCCAAGAAGGTGGCTGCAGGACACTTTACCTAGTCTCAAAGTGGTGGTTCAGGGGATGTAGTTTGCCACATGCAATAACACGGACAAGCAGCACGGGCCTCATTTGGCTGTTGACACGTATGCTTCTTATGGTATGGGTGCTTCTGCTGAGTTTCAACTTCTGCTTGCTCTGGTTCCCGTGAGCCATGCCCTGGTTCCCTATGCTCACCTGCATTCTGTTTGCTCTGGGGCCATGCTCTGGTTTTCTATGCTCACCTGCATTCTGTTTGCTCTGGGGCCATGCTCTGGTTTTCTATGCTCACCTGCATTCTGTTTGCTCTGGGGCCATGCTCTGGTTTTCTATGCTCACCTGCATTCTGTTTGCTCTGGGGCCATGCTCTGGTTTTCTATGCTTACCTGCATTCTGTTTGCTCTGGGGCCATGCTCTGGTTTTCTATGCTCACCTGCATCATTCTGAACACCTCTGTCTTCTTAGGGGGATCCAGGTGCGACCCTGGGGAATACTTATTCACATAGCTGGCAGCACAGGGTGGTTGAGAGACCAAAGGTTTCAAAAAGAAAGTAAGAAAAACACTCGATCATTCAATTCACGGATAACGCATAAAAGGACAGCAGGCCAAATGAAGCAACTGAAAGTTAGTCAGTGTTGTTAAAGGATGACCTACGGCACTGAAAAGCAGGCAGGACGCAAGGCGATAGGCTACGTCCGTGAAGGCGTGCTGCGCTGCCTCTTGCAGGCGCTGCCTACGTCCTTCTAGGCATTGCGCTACCTACTAATAGGCGTTTGCAACCAGACCTGCTGACAGGCGTTTCGCTGCCTTGCATTTCCCCGCTACAGTGCATTGCACTACTCACTTGTACGCGAGCAGCACGCAGGCGTAGAGCTCCGCGGCGTTGATGACTTGCCGGCCCTCGTGGTCCGGCGTGCGGTCCAACTCCGCGAACTCGTAGAACGCCTTGTCCAGCGCGCGGGTTACCACGGATTGACCTGCGAACAATGGCGAAAGGTGAAACCAGGCGTCGTTGCGTGGGTGAGATGCGAGTGATAGTCGAAGTATGGCTGCCGGAAATGATGCACAAATGCCTTGGTTTGTTGCGGGTCCTGGTTTCGCGCCGTTGCATTGCAACTGGGGTGGCTCTATGGTTACTCATTGGTTGAAAGACAAGGAAAGACAGGCGGAGATCTTACTTCCGAAACCCATTTTGGTTCAAAAATAGATTCAGAGTCGGGATCCGCGCAATTGACGCGTCGAATGCTAGTAGCAGTTGTTAGTAGCTATGAGAAGTAATTGCTTATGAATTGGTTTAGGGAAGCAGGAGGAAATGCAGAATGGGAAAAGCTGCAACTTGAGCGTGCTCGTATGGAGTGGGGATTGAATTGTGATTACGGAGGACAGACTGTTATACCACCATCACCAATTCGTGTTACTCATGTAGCCTTATCTATACATAACGATATGCTAAAAACAGGGATATTTCTCCGTACACCCGATACCTGTCGTAGATCAGGTGCCTTGTCTGCGCTTTGTAGGTCAAGCCGAACCACTGGCGAGGCTTGGCGCGGGTTTGATTGGGCCAAGGGCGCCGCTGTCGCTGGTGGGGTTCTAGTCTAGATCCGTACCAGGCGATCAGGAAGGCAATGCCCGCTGTGAAGGAACGATTAGGGCAGCGACGGCCTTGCCGAAAAATAACTAAGTGTGGCCACTTCCACCTGATGGAACTAAAAGGTTCATTCGACTGCCAGAGTTGCCCGAAAGCCCCATCCCTCCTATGCTGGCTTTTACGTTTTTTCGTTTCACCCTGGGCAGTAGTAGGACTTCTGGGCAGAGTTGGATGTGTGTGTCGACGAGTCGAAAGACTGGCAGTGGTCGCCATGACTGTAGAAACACGTTTGGACGGAAGGTTGCATTGAACCACGCTGCACCACTCATCACCATGAACGGAACGGACCTTGCTTATGATTGAACCAGGAAATAGTGATTATCCGTCAGTTTAGGCAATAGGGTAGGTAATGTATGGTATGGACGCACGATTAGTTGTTAGTTCCCCTGACCTTGTTACTTGCCTCCTGTGGTCGCCATTTTCCGTATGCAAGCCTTGCCGGGTATTGCTGCTTTCGGTCACTCGGTTTATCGGTGACGTGCTTGCTTGGTGGACGGGAAGTGCTCGCTTGCTCGTGCACTCTGTCACCTCGATTTCTTAGACTCCTCAAAATTGCCTGCCGCGTCCATTGTGTCATTTCGTCGTGTAACTTGACGCCGCCACGTGGCTAGTCGTAGTGCTAGTGTCGATTCCGTAGTTTACTGGCAACAGCTAACAGCTAGAAACGCGGCCAGCATTTTCGTGTTTTTCGCCAGCTGCTCACAGCCGTTGATCTGCACAGATTCTCCTTCCTGCACCTTTCGATACACCTGCATCAAACACTTTAGACTGCACACTACCAAGGCAGGTGGTTTATCCTCGGTCATATTTCTGAGGCGCCTCAGAAGTTCTGTCCTCGTTATGTCCGCTTCGGAAGCGGCGGTGCAATTGGAAGGGGTGACGGAAGGTGGAAGGATAATGAAGAACTCCGAGACCAGCCGTTCTGTCTCGTCGAAAGCCGACGACGCCGGGCGTGAAGATGACGTGGCAAGACATAAGATGCGACTCAAGTCGGCATCGTTCAATGGAAGAGATTCCTTTCGAGAACTCACCGCAAGGCAACGCGTGGCAGGACACGCGGCAGGAGACGCGGCAGGACATGTGGCGGGACACGTGGCAGGAGACGCGGGAGCACCGCTAGGTTTTGCGGACGGCGGCGAAACATGCGAGCCGTGTAGTGCGCATGAATCAACGGCCATTTATGAATCAAGGATGGGCATAATCTCTGAATGCACCCCAGGCGACGACGCTGCTACTCGTGCTGCTGCTGCTTCTAATGCCGCCACCAATGCCGCTACCAATGCTGCTGCTGCTGCTGCTGTTGACGGTGATTCCGCGACGATTTCCGCTTCCTGCACCGAAGCTGTTCTTATCGCACCAGGCAAGCCCGAGCAAAGAGAAGACGACCCCTTAGCTAGTAGTAACGCGAGTGACTTTAATCCACCTACCCTTAACACAGCAGCAGCAACGACGCTGCGTAACCCTAACCCGAGTAACTCCATGTCAGATGTTACGCCAGTTACTCCGTTAAAGTCCCAGAGCCCTATAGTCACAGGTGATTATACTGACCGCGGTAGCCCCAGGCACACAGAGAGTTGCGGAAACGGTTCTACCCTGATACCTGAACCTTCCGCCGATTCCCCTTCTTCCGCCCTCAAACCCTCTTCTTCCGCCTCCCCTTCCGCCTCCGCTTCCGCCTGCGCCCCCGCGCCCGCTTCCCCTGCGCGGAACGGTCTCGTTCTCCCCGGGCGCGCGTCTCTAGACACCCTTCAGGCCTCCCCCGCCCCCCCGCTCGCGCTGGCCAACCCCCGCCGACTTTCCGCGCGGAGAAGCGCCAGCAGTGGGGAAAACTCCGCGGGACTGTCCCTGATCAACCGCCGAACCGCAGCTGCAGGCTCGGGAAGAGGCTTGGCGAGCAGGCGCGAGGTGCCAGGGCTGAACAGGCCCGGGAGGGGTCCCGGTGGGTTTAAACTAGACATGGGCGCGCTTCAGCGGAGCAGGGGGGAGCGGGATTTTGCGCGGGAGGCGCAGGAAGCGCAAGCCAGGCGGGATAAGTTCGCGTTTTTCGAAAAGGACTGTAGCCGAGTGCTGGAGCATGTATATGTGGGGAGCGACTTTGTAGCGAGAAGCAGGGAGGTTCTTAAGGAGGCTGGGATCACGCATGTGCTGAACTGCGTGGGGTTTGTGTGCCCCGAGTATTTTCCAGAGGAGATTAAGTACAAGACGCTCTGGCTGCAGGTGAGGTTACTAGTTCTCTGGCTGCGGTCGGATGCTGCTACATTGTGGATTGTGTGTAAATGTGCATGTGTGCGCACGCAGGCTCGCACCCACCCAAACCCACCCCCCCCCCCCCCCCCCCCCCCCCCCTCTCCCCCCCCCACCCACACACGCACACACGCCCGCACGCACGCGCGCGCTCACACTCACACACACACACACACCTATCCCTTCCCTCCCTCTTTCCCTCCCCTTTCCTCTCATCCCTCAGGACAACACGGGCGAGGACCTGCTGTATGTCTTGTTTAACGTGTTTGACCACATTGAGGTTGTGAGCGAGGCTGAGAATATTAACTGTCCCCTTCCTCCTCTCCCCCCTCCCCTTCACCTCTCCCTCCCCTCCCTCAGGACAACACGGGCGAGGACCTGGTGTGCGTCTTATGCGACGTGTTTGATTGCATTGAGGCCGTGCGGGCGGATGAAGGGGTTGTTCACTGCACTGCACACCCCCCCACCTCTCCCTTCCCTGCTCCACCCATTTCCATCCCTTTCCATCCCTCTCCTCTCCCTTCCCCCTATCAGGGCGGGTGAAGGGGTTGTTCACTGCACTGCACACCCCCCACCTCTCCCATTCATTTCTACACCCAATTGCATCCCTCCACACCCCTCCCCTCCCTCAGGACAACACGGGCGAGGACCTGGTGTGCGTCTTATACGACGTGTTTGATTACATCGAGGCTGTAAGGGCGGCGAGGGGCCGCGTGTTCATCCACTGCTGCCAGGGCATCTCGCGCTCCACGTCGCTCGTGATTGCCTACCTCATGTGGTGCGAGGTGGGTGCAGTGTGGGGGACATGGAGTGTGCAGCATGGGTGGGAGGGGTGACATTTTGGGTGTGTAGGTGCTGGTGCCTACCCCAACTGCTGCCAGGGCATCTCGCGCTCCACGTCGCTCGTGATTGCCTACCTCATGTGGCGCGAGGTGGGTGCTTGGAAGCACTGGGACTGGGCAATGGGCATTGGGCTGCATTGGGTGGGTGGGTGGGTGGTTGGTTGGGTGAGTGGCCTGGTGGGTGCGTGGGTAGGTGGGTGGTTGTGTGGGTAGGTAGGTAGGTGGGTGTGTGGGTGGGTGGTTGTGTGGGTAGGTAGGTAGGTAGGTGGGTGTGTGGGTGGGTGGTTGTGTGGGTAGGTAGGTAGGTGGGTGTGTGGGTGGGTGGTTGTGTGGGTAGGTAGGTAGGTGGGTGTGTGGGTGGGTGGTTGTGTGGGTAGGTAGGTAGGTGGGTGTGTGGGTGGGTGGTTGTGTGGGTAGGTAGGTAGGTGGGTGTGTGGGTGGGTGGTTGTGTGGGTAGGTAGGTAGGTGGGTGTGTGGGTGGGTGGTTGTGTGGGTAGGTAGGTAGGTGGGTGTGTGGGTGGGTGGTTGTGTGGGTAGGTAGGTAGGTGGGTGTGTGGGTGGGTGGTTGTGTGGGTAGGTAGGTAGGTGGATGTGTGGGTGGGTGGTTGTGTGGGTAGGTAGGTAGGTGGGTGTGTGGGTGGGTGGTTGTGTGGGTAGGTAGGTAGGTGGGTGTGTGGGTGGGTGGTTGTGTGGGTAGGTAGGTAGGTGGGTGTGTGGGTGGGTGGTTGTGTGGGTAGGTAGGTAGGTGGGTGTGTGGGTGGGTGGTTGTGTGGGTAGGTAGGTAGGTGGGTGTGTGGGTGGGTGGTTGTGTGGGTAGGTAGGTAGGTGGGTGTGTGGGTGGGTGGTTGTGTGGGTAGGTTGGTAGGTGGGTGTGTGGGTGGGTGGTTGTGTGGGTAGGTAGGTAGGTGGGTGTGTGGGTGGGTGGTTGTGTGGGTAGGTAGGTAGGTGGGTGTGTGGGTGCGTGTGTGCAGTGCAGGGATCACACTGGGTGTTGCGGTTGCCTGTGGTGCGAGGTGTGTGTGTGTGTTCATTCGAACCAAACCGAGCCACACCGAGCCAAAGTGGGTTAAGGCACTCACAGCTTCCAGGAGCTTCAACCACTCACCCTCCTCAAGAGGGTGAAAGCTCTGAGACCCATAGCCCGAGGTCTATCCCAACATCGGGTTCAATTGCATGCTCTCCACCGCTCTCAACCCCCTCCCACCCCTTCCAACCCTCCTCTCCTTCCCTCCCCACAGACGAATCCAAGCGGGTGAATGCGCTGAGGTCTTTGGCCAACCACAACATGGGCTTCAACCCCGTGCTCCTGTTCACCGCTCTCAACCCCCGTGCACCTCCTTCCACCCATTCCACCCCTTTCCACCCTCTTCCGTTCTGCACCCTTCGGAGACGCGTTGAAGCAGGTGAACGCGCTGAGAGCAGTAGCCAACCCCAACATGAGTTTCATTTCAATCTCATGCGCCCTCCACCGCTCTCAACCCCCTCCCACTTCCTTCCACCCCATTCTCTCCATTCCTGCAGGGCATTCCCTTTGGGGACGCGTTCAAGCGAGTCAAGGCGCTGAGGGCAGTGGCCAACCCCAACATGGGGTTTGCATGCCAGCTGCTGCAGTGGCAGACGCGCATCCTCCCCCCCTCCGCCCTCGATCCGCCCCCCACGCCTCAACCCACCGCTCTCCCCCCTGCTGCTCCAGCTCCTGCTGCTGCTCCTGCTGCTGCTGTTGCTGCCACTGCTTCTGGCGTTGGTGCTGCTGTTGCTGCCACTGCTTCTGGCGTTGGTGCTGCTGTTGCTGCCACTGCTTCTGGCGTTGGTGCTGCTGTTGCTGCCACTGCTTCTGGCGTTGGTGCTGCTGTTGCTGAGGCAGAATCAGGAGCAGTAGCAGCAGCGGCAGCACCAGAAGGAGAGTCACTAGCAGCAAAGGCAAAAGGTGGTTCTGATGACTCCAATGGGCACGTAAAATCAGCGCCAGCACCGCTGTCAGCACCACTGCCAGCACCACTGCCAGCACCGCAACAACCAGCACGCTCATCAGTTGCAGAATCAGCACTGGCATCAGGGGCAGCGGTAGCATCAGAGCCAGCACGAAGGGTAGCATTGGGGGCAGCAGACTCGTCAGGGGCGGCAGAGGAGGCATCAGGGGCGGCAGAGAAGGCGTCAGGGGCGGCAGAGGAGGCATCAGGGGCGGCAGAGAAGGCGTCAGGGGCGGCAGAGGAGGCATCAGGGGCGGCAGAGAAGGCGTCAGGGTCGGCAGAGGAGGCATCAGGGGCGGCAGAGGAGGCATCAGGGGCGGCAAGCAGCTGTCACATGTACCGCATGGCGCCGCACTCGCCGTACGACGCACTGCACTTGGTGCCGAAAATTACCACCCTCTCCCGCCACTCGCTCGACCCACGAGGGGCCTTCATTGTGCAGGTGATTCACTCTCACTCACTCACTCTCCTTATAGAGTCGGTGATACCCTCTCAACTTCCCTTCTCACTGACAAGGTGATTGCCTCCCCTAATGCCACAGGCGTCTCTTTTGAGTCGACTCAAAAGTTTTTCGAGTCGACTCAAGGGTGACTTTCGAGTCGACTCAAGAGCTGACTTTCGAGTCGACTCAAGAGCTGACTTTCGAGTCGACTCAAAAGTCTTTCCTTCTCATCTCACTGACAAGGTGATTGCCTCCCCTTAATGCCACAGGCGTCTCTCTCCGTAAAACAATTGCCTCTCAACTCTCCTTTTGCAATGTGCTGCTGGTGTGGAGAAGTGTGTTATTTCTTTCATGGCCTTTCTCTGCTGCTCCCTCTCCCTTTCCCCCTCCCTCCTTTCCCCACTCCTCAATCCTTCCCATTTCCTCCTCTCCTCCTCCCCGTCCCCGACTTGTCTCACACTCAGATACGGACAAAAGTATACTGTTGGCGGGGCAAGGAATGCCACCCGCTCATGGCCAAGCAGGCCCTCGCAGCTGCCGCCCAGATCATCAAGTACGAACGGCTGGGGGAGGTGTCATCTGCTGGTGGTGGGGAGGTGGTATCTGCAGGAGGAGGGGAGGTGGCATTTGGGGAAGGTGGGTCCTGTGAGCAGGGATTGCAGGTGGCTGGCGATTCGGTGGCAAGAAACGAAGGGCAAAAAGACTCAGTAGTGGGGGAGACACAACAGCAACAGCAACAGCAACAGGAGGAGGAACAGGAGCAGCAGCAACAACTGGCACAGCAGGAGGAACAGCAACAGCAGCAAGAACAAGAACACCAGCGGCAACGACAGCAACAGCAGGAACAGTCACTCCCACTCCCAGAGTCGCATGTACAGACTCAATCTCAACCGCCAATTTCACACTTGTCTCTGGCACAGCCACCAATCCCACTACCACTGCAGTCGCAAGGCAGAGAACCCCCGGAATCACTAGCAGCACAGCCACCAATCCCACTCCCACCGTCCCCGCTACCTCTGCAGTCACAAGGACCAGTGCCTCATTCTGCCCCTATTCCCGTTCTGCAAGGGAGGGAACCTGCTGAATTACTAGCAGCCCTTGATGCTGCTGATGCAGCAGCGGCAGAGGGAGGAGAAGGAGGCGGAGGAGGGGGGGATGGGGAGGGAGAGGGGAGATATGTGATGGGGAGAACCCGAGCAGAGATAGAGGCTCAAATGCAAGCGGTTAGGAAACAGGGTCTGACTTATCTCGGGCAGGATGCAAATCTTTTGAGCTGCCTGGAGCGGGGAAGAGGTTCAGTGCTGAGTGGAGGGATTGGGGGAAGAGAAGCACAGAACGGATGTGCTAGTAGGAGTGCAGATAGTAACGAAGGTTGTGAGAAGAATGGGGGGCGTGATAATAATGAGGGATGTGAGAAGAAAGGAGGTTGTGATAATAACGAGAGGTGTGTGGCTTCCAAAGACAGTCAGCCAGAGGAACAGGGGATGAGGGAAGGAAGGGGGTGTGATTGTATGGAAGGGGACAGAGGCAGAGAAGGAGTGGGAGGGGAGGAAGCGGCTAGAGCCGATGGTGCTGGTGCTGGGCCCGCAACAACTGAGGAGGAGGCTCGAGAACCCTCCTCAAGGCGAAGGGCGGTGGAGGGGCAATGGACAATGGAGGAGGGTAGAGAAGCTAGAGAAGTTTCTTGTGTAGCTACTGGTAGTGGAGTTGAATCGAACGTTGAGACATCTCGGGAAAATGCTTCCTCCTCCTCCTCCTCCTCCTCCTCCTCCTCCTCCTCCTCCTCCTCCTCCTCCTCCTCCTCCTCCTCCTCCTCCTCCTCCTCCTCCTCCTCATCCTCCTCCTCCTCCTCCTCCTCCTCCTCCTCCTCCTCCTCCTCCTCCTCCTCCTCCTCCTCCTCCTCCTCCTCCTCCTCCTCCTCCTCCTCCTCCTCCTCCTCCTCCTCCTCCTCCTCCACCTCCTCCTCTTCCACCTCCTCCTCCCCCCCTCACCCAGCCTTCACACCGCCCCAAAATCCACACTACGACTCCGATTTCGAGTACTTCCAAAAGGCGGTCATGGGCGGCACGCCTCGTCCCATAGCGGGTTTCGTCTCCCCATCCTCCAAGATCCTCCCACACAAGGGGCGGGGGTGGATGACAGAGGAGGTGCTGTGGAGAATGAGCTTACTTCACGATCCCTACACTGTCCTGCACGACGCCACAACCCTTCACGACCCCTACACTGTGCTCCATGACCCATGCACGGGAGTGTTGCTCGAGCAGTATGCGTCGACTTTGTCAGATCAGCAGCGGCAGAGCTCACGGGAGTGGCCCGCTTCCTGGAAGCCGCGGCACCAGCAATTCCCGGTGCTGCCTAAAATGAGTGTGAGCGTTGGTGGGGTGGCGGGGCAAGGGGAGGAGAGGAGAGCCTGAGTGGTACTGTGGGAGTTGCTGGAAAGATGCTTCAGCAGCCATCTTGGCACCAGCGATTCCCGGTGCTGCCTAAGATGAGCGCGAGCGTTGGTGGGGTGGCGGGGCAAGGGGAGGAGAGAAGGTGACTGCGGGTTATGATGGGAAGTCGTGAAAGGCTGTGTCTGAGCTTTTTTCCAGTCACCAGCAATTCCGGGTGCTGCCTAAGATGAGTGTGAGCGTTGGTGGGGTGGCAGGCCAAGGGGAGGAGAGTAGAGCCTGAGTGCTGCTGTGGGAGTTGCTGGAAAGTGAGAGGAGGTGATGTTTCAGCAGCCATCTTGGCACCAACACTTCCCGGTGCTGCCCAAGATGAGTGTGAGAGTTGGTAGGGTAGCGGGTGAGGGGGAAGGGAGACGGGTGAACTTGTGAGGGTTGTTGGGAAGGGTAACAGGTTGTGCCTGAGTAATCATCTTGGCACCGACACTTGCCGGTGCTGCCGAAGATGAGTTTGAGTGTTGGTGGGGTGGCGGGCCAAGGGGAGGAGAGGAGACCCTCAGTGCTGCTGTGGGTGCTGTTGGAAAAGAAGAGAAGGTGATGCACCCATAGAAGGTGATGCATGGGCAGTCATCTCGGCACGAACACTTTCTGATGCTGCTTAAGATGAGCATGAGTCTTGGTGGGACTGCGGTTGAGGGGGGGGGAGAAGGAGGTGACCGAGGGTTGCTAGGAAGCAGTGAAACCTTTTTTGTAAGCAGTGAACTAGTCACCAGCTCGTCGAAGTGCTGCCTAAGCTGAGTGTGAGCGTTGGTGGGGAGGCAGGTGAAGAGGGGGGGAGAGGGGGAAGGCGGAGTGGGAAACGGATTGAGTGGGGGGAGGTCGTGTTGGGGAAGGCTGAGGGGGGTTGGTGAAGTGGGAGGTGGAGGAGTAGGGTGAGTGGGATTGTGGAGTGGGGAGTGTGGGTGGAAGCAGCAGGGACTCGCTAGGGTCTACTCCACTCCACTGTCTCCCCTCTCAATCTCACCAAGTGTACTCTCTTCTCTTCCTTCCCCTTCTGACACCGAGCCATGTAGGAAGGCGCTGTTGTCTGGTATGGGAATGGGAACAAGAGATGACATATTGTTCTCAGTTCCAGTTATGGTAACACATGTTCAATCGAAACCCCCACGGTTGAATGCAATGCATGCAGCTCATGTACTACTGTACTGTACCAAAATACGGTAATTGTTGGAATAGCTTTCTCGCGTTTGTGGTCTTTAACATGGTAGATACCGTAGTTCGAATCGTTTGAAGCAATTGCCATTGGCGTCTTTCTCATCTCTAGTTGAATGCAAGACCCATAAAGCTCCTGAACCATGTTCACATTGAACCAACTGGACAGGGGCTGATTAATCCAACATTCAAATTGATCACAAATGCAACAGGTATATACAAATGAATGTTCTATTACACCAAGACAAGACCTTTATACGCACACCCGACCTACAGACTATCCAGCAGGAGCCTAGCCACTCTCATCTACACATGACTTGGTGCAACTGAGAGCTTCCAAGGCCCACACTTGCTCTCATCTACCCGTGTAGAAAGGAAGGGAAGAGCCAATTGGAGAGCAGGATGAGGGCGAGGAAGACTACGGCGTGCACCACCACTGATGGCAGAGAGGTGCGCCAATTCTGAAACTCCACTGGCTGGTTGTCCCCTGGGATCTGCATGGGGCAAGAGCCAGTGGAAAGTGTGTGGGGGGGGGGAAAGGAATAGCCAGTTAAAGAGCAGGATGAGGGTGAGTTAGACAGCATGTGCACCAGTTCTGACACTCCACCGGCTGGTTGTCTCCTGGGATCTGCATGAAGGAAAAGGGGAGAGTGGGAGGGGGGTGGGGGTATGGGGAAAAGACAGTGGGAGAGAAGGATGAGGGCGAGGAAGACTACTGCGTGCACCACCACGGAGGGCAGCGACGTGCGCCAGTTCTGAAACCCCACTGGCTGGTTGTCTCCTGGGATCTGAAGGAAAGGGTACCAATGGGGAGGGAACGGAGAAGGATGTGAAGGAGGTTGGGTAGAGCGGAGAGGGAAGAACTCGAATAAGGAACTGAAGGCTCGAGTCATGAAATCATGCGCATGGTTTTCAATGGTTGGCTTACTCTGGCTTACTCTGGCCTTCATATCAGATCTATATAGACACCACGCCATGCTCAAAACATATGAGCACATCTGATCTACCACACCCAGTTTTATTGGTGATCAAATCGAAGCTGAAGCAGCCTACAACGAGCCTGAAGCAATCCAGGGCGAACCTGAAGCAACCCAGAGCGAACTTGAAACAATCTAGGCTTCATATTGTCGCAAACTGACGATTGGAGAGTAGCTGGAACGTACCTGCAGCAGCATCCCCGGGGAGAGGAGGACGAAGAGGACGGTGATGAACACGAGGCCATACCACGTGAAAAACATCATGCCTTTTCAAGAAAACCCCACGAATAAAGATTCTGTGAGAATAGGAGAACGAGATACAGCTAGAGCTGGCTGAACGGAGCTCTTTCAAGGGCTGCTGAGCGTTATGCCAAGAAAAATATTGCGAGGAGCGAGGACGATACGCAAGGGTAAACAGGGGAGGAGATGTCGCCCGTATTGAATCTATCAGCGTGGAACGCCGGAGGGGAGAGGGACGAGAGAGAAGAGGAACAGCGGGGAGGGCGGAATGATAGGATGAGGCATGCGACATGCGGTTCGGTTCGAGATGGTTCAGATTTAGTTGGTACATAACACAATGCTCCCCGCGCTTCGTGATTTCCAACGCCGCGACATGTGGCTCGAGTGATGCCGCTGCCACGTCGCGGGCAGGCCGAAAGGAGCGTGCATGGCGGTGGTAGTTAGTGCTGACTCGTCTCGATAGAAGAGCAGATAAGCTGCTACGTACCCCATTGTACACGGCATCTGCTGCTTGTCACGGCAGGACGGGAGGACATTGGGTTTGCCATACCAGATTGTAGCATGCTCCGCTTGAAGTCAAATTGCAGTAGGGTGTTACAAAGGTATGGATTTCTACATATGGAAATTGCATTTTACAATGCTAAAACACATATGGAATTCTAACTGATGGTATGGTAGAAGGTACAGAATCAACCAACGGAAAAAAAGCTACGCTCTTTACGATAGTGTAATGAGGTGATTTCAGTTCTGAATCTGAATCAGGAAATTTCTGTGAATAGTCTAGTCGGGGCTGGCGGGCTGGCAGGCTTTCAGGCTTGCGGTAAAAAATCTTAATCTAGCCGGGCTAGATCAACATTCTACTGTAAGCATTTAAAAGTTCAAGAAGGGTCTTGCTGGCTGAGAAACAGCATGTAGGGGGATTTGTGCATAAGCAAAGCGCATTTTCTAGCAGCATCAGCTGTTTCAAGATGCATTATTTACAGGAAAGCACTGTACAAACACTACTTGTTATCTACAGACACTGAATTTCACTGCATCTACAGACAAAATTGCAGATTGCCCACTAACAATGCTGTCGTTCTATCCCAACATTCTGCAGCAGCAGCACAACTACCACACTTCATCCTCTAATCATGCTTCCCACCACCACCGCCAGCAGCACTGGAGAAGTAATACCCATCGATCAGAAGCAGCAAGATGAAGAACACCACTGCATGCACCAACACACTGACCGATGATTATTATCCTATGACACTTCCCACTGCCGCCACCCCCAACAACAAACAACGCTTGATCATCTAATCATGTTTTCCCCCACCACCGCCGCCAGCAGCACTGGAGAAGTAATACTCATCAATGAGAAGCAGCAAGATGAAGAACACCACTGCATGCACCAACACTGACGCGAGAGACGTGCGCCAGTTGCGGAACTCTATTGGCTGTGTGTCGCCTGGAATCTGAGACAAAACAGCAAGAGAGAAGCGGTGCGAAGGGATGTATTCATAAGATTACGTGTGAGGTAAGATTAAAGACCCTCCAAGCAGACGATACAAAGAATGATAAAACAGAGAGCGATAAACGGAGAATGATAAACACATTCACGAGGATAGTATCTAACATGAACGAGACATGCAGTATAACCATCCTGTCACATGCCTGCATCACATTAACAGTACCTGGAGCAGCAGCCCCAAAGAAAGCACGATGAAGATTACCAACATGGGAAACGGGATACACATGTTGACACGCTTTCCAAGCTGACATCCAGTATGAATATGTCATGTCACATGCCAGCCAGCATCTCATTAACAGAAAGTACCTGGAGCAGCAGCCCGGGAGACAGCACGATGAAGAGCACGACGATGAGGAACAGCGTGAGCCAGCTAAGCGCCATGGCGGATCGAGAGGAGCAACTTGAGAACGCTGAATGGTGATGTGCACTACCAGGGAGTGATGATAACGCTGACGTGTCACACGAGATTAACCTGTGCTTCGAATTCAGCCGTGAGAAGGAAACAAATAAGAAGCTGAGAGAAGGAAGCAAGCTCTATTCCGACTGACGAGACACGAACGATTATCAATTCACCCGAAGCTGAGAGCGTCTGGAGACCGGACAGGAAGAAGAGAGCGTGAGAGCAGCGAAGGTAGATGAAAAGGACGACGACGAGAAGGGGTAACGAGCATAACGGCCGATGCGATGATGAGAATGGCGTGTAGAGAAGGCGTGAGAGGGAAGACCGGCCCATGGAAATGATGGGAACGCGGTTTCCAGTGGTTCCCATCGGTGAGAGTGCCATGCTAGCGTGCTGCTTTCGAGCGCTCAGGGTGGAATTTCCAACATCGCGATACGCGCGGGTTGATTGAGTGGCGTCGCGGCCACCTCGGGTGCGACGAGAGAAGCGTGCATGGCGACGGTGACGGCGAGGCGTGATGTGTTCTGAGTAAGAAAACAACTGCTGTGTTCCACCTGTCCTGCGTAGAAAGAATATGGTGATTTGTTCAATTTTGCACTTGGATGTTTGGTCGAGCTGACATTCCAATCCTCGCTATTAGCGGCCGCGGTTGCGATATTGTGCACGAATAGAGTGAGTGAAAGAAAGAGAGACCTAGTTTTTGGCTCCAATTCATGAATGCTAATAGCTGAACAGCTGAAGCGGCGTCACAAGATTGATAAGAATCGATCGTAACTCATAACGAATCATCACAATTACACCATGAATGGGTACTTTTATGGCACAACGAACCATCTGACTGGTCTGATGGCTTATGCAGTAAATGGAATGAGCTTGACAAACCCATCACCGCCACATGTTAGAAGGCCATGGGTTGAGGGAATCATATCCATCACACCAACCTGCCATTGAGAAAGAAGAAAAGAAGGGAGGGGGAGAAGGTCGGGTAACAGAATGGGTTAACAATAAACCACTCATCATCACATGTAAGGATGCCTCGGGTTGATGAACTCATATCAATCACACCATCCTGCAATTGAAAGGGGAGAGAATGGGCAACAAAGCATCCACATCCATTACCGCGATGGGAACCAAGAAGTAAACAACCAGGACTGCATACAAGCCCACTCCCCCAACCAGCAGCACAGCCACCTGCGTGACTAGCACCCAGTAGCCCACACAGCACACCCACCTGCATGACGGCTCCAAAGCCGCGGGCATTAAGGAAAGTGCGTTTCTCATGCACGCGGGGCCACTCCCTGAGCAGCTGGCAGCGCGAGGCGTCCCACAGCTTCACCTCACCGTCCTTGCCCGCACTCAGGAACAGCGGCGTGCCGGGCAGGGATAGAATCGCCGACACACTGCTGCTGTGCGCCCGGGGAATGTGCCACAGCGCCCGATCCCCATACCCACCACCACCACCACTGCCCACTGCACCACTGCCTGCACCGCCACCGCTGCTGCCACTGCCGCCACCGCCGCCGCTGTTGTTGCTGTTACTGATGTTTCTGCTTCCGTCTTTGCTCCCCCCGCCCCCGCCTCCGCCCCCCTTGCGGCCGCTCTTGCCGCTCGCAATGAACCGGAAATCGTGCACTGAGATATCGCCGGCCTTGCCGCCTGTCACGATCAGCGAATGAGACGCCGACAGCTGTCCTCCTCCTCCTCCTCCTCCGTTGCCACCCCCTGTTCCTCCCCGTGCTGCTGCTCCCCCGGTGCTCCCTGTGGCGGCGGCAGCAGGGATGGTGTTGTCAACGATAGCGATGCTGGTGGCGCCACCTGCAGTGGGATGAGTGAGGAGAGGGATATGATGTTGAGAAGTTGACGGATGGTGGTGAGAAAGGGGCAACGCTGAGAGAAACGGAGTAAGGAGCGTGCATGGACGGGTAATCACGCCTCAACTGTGGAACTTGCCTTGGTGGCAGTTGGTGGCAGTTGGTGGCAACATGAGAGGCGTTGGGCGGAGCAAGGGAGTCCCACACGACTAGGTTGTCCTGCGAGGGGCTCTGCCCCATGCAAGAGACCATGCCTTGGTGGCAGGAGAACTCGACGTGTAGAGAGGTTATTCTTGAGACGTCTCAAAAATACCCTCTCTACATGTGCGAGGGTCTCTGCCCCATGCAAGAGCCCATGCCTTGGTGGCAGGAGAACTGGACCAGAATGACGGACTTCTGGAGAAGCCTAGGTGACAATCGGTTGAACGGCGGACTTGCCTTGGTGGCAGTTGATGGCAACGCGGGAGGCGTTGGGCGGGGCGAGGGAGTCCCACACGACCAGGTTGTCCTGCGATGGGCTCTGCCCCACCGCTGCCAGCACACTGCTGCTCGCCCCTATGAACGCCACTCCACTGTGGGCAGGGAATGCAGGGTGTAGTGGGGTGAGGTGGAATGAAGTTGGGTGAGATTTTCTAGACGTCTCAGGAGTCCCACACGACCCGGTTGTCCTGAGATGGGCTCTGCCCCACCGCTGCCAGCACACTGCTGCTCGCCCCTATGAACGCCACTCCACTGTGAGGGGAAAGTGGGGTGTGGAGGGGTGGAACGGGGTGGGGTGAGGTGGGGTGGATTTTGGAGCCAAGGGGTGAGCAGCATGGATAGAAGGCCTGCATGGATAGCATGATGCGTCGATTTTTTAGTCGACTCAATACTGGACTCATCACATCCGGGGTGAGCAGTATGCACAGAATAGGGAGTTTTTGAGAATTCTCAAAAACTCAAAAATCCACTCATCACATGCGGGGTGAGCAGCATGCATGGAATGCCAGCACGCTGCATGCGTGCATGCTGGGCCCGCATGCAGAATAGGGAGTTTTTGAATACCAGCACGCTGCTCCTGGGCCAAGAAATGCCACGTCACTGCATGCAGTGGTCAGGTGGAGAGACGAAAGGTGGGATATGCAAAGCGAGTCTGGGGAAGAGTTGTGGAGCGTATTTCATAATTTCACCTGCCACAATACCATTCCCCCTTTCCCCTCTCACCTTGCGCTCCGTCCAAAGCAGTGCTTGGTCTCTGCAGGCTTCACACGTTGCCGCGCCCGCCCACCTCCAGCTGCCACATCGACACCGTGCCGTCCGCAGCAGCGGTCCCATAGCACGAGACAATCCATCGCCTCACCGTTCCCCCTCTCACCTGGCGCTCCGCCCAAAGCAGTGCTTGGTCTCAGTGGGCTTCACGTTGCTCCTCCCCCCCACCTCCAGCTGCCACATCGACACCGTGCCATCCGCAGCAGCGGTGGCGAAGCGCTCCCCGTAGCGGTGCAGGGAGAGGGCAGTGACAGAGGGGATGACCAGCGGCACTGGCGTGTTGGCAGCTGGCAGCACCCCATACGTTGCCGTGGCTGCTGGCGCACCGAACTGTGGGGGTGGGGATGATGTATGGTGGGGAGAAAGAGGGCAGGAGGGAGAACCCAGCAAAGAGTGAGGAGAATCAGAGCAGCAGCGGTGGTGGTTGCGGAGTGGGTGAGGGGAGTTTTTTGAGACGTCTCAAAACACTCCTTCTTTCACGAGGGAGAAGCCCAGCAAAGAGTGAGGAGCATCAGAGCAGCAGCAGGGAGGGTGGTTGCGGAGTGGGTGAGGGGAATGCGAGAGAGATGAGCAGCAGCGGTGGCGAAGCGCTCCCCGTAGCGGTGCAGGGAGAGGGAGGTGACAGAGGGGATGACCCGCGGCACGGGGGTGTTGGCTGCTGGGAGCACGCCATGCGTTGCTGTTGCTGCTGGCGCACCGGACTGGGGCACGGGTTTGGATGGTATGTGTGGATGATACATGGGAATGATGCATGCACGAGGGGGAATGATACACGGGGGAATGATACACGGGGGAATGATACACGGGGGAATGATACACGGGGGAATGATGCACGGGGGAATGATACACGGGGGAATGATACACGGGGGAATGATACACGGGGGAATGATACACGGGGGAATGATACACGGGGGAATGATACAAGGCAATCAGGGCAGCCCCGGCACCTGCCAGAGCGGCCCACCTGCCACCCACCTGCTGCTATAGACTCACATACCCAACAACCCACCTGCCACAGGGAAGCAGCCCACCCACCTGCCAGAGGTATACGTGAGTATTGGTGGAGCCGACCAGGAAGAAGGGCCTGAGAGGGTGAGCTGCCAACGCCCTCCCCGCTACAGACTCTGCCGTGGCCGGTGGGTCCACATACCCCTCCTCCGCATCCTCCAAGTCCTCCCATCCCAATCCCCACGCGCCTATCCCCCCATACCCCGGAATCCCCATCCCCACGCCGCCCGCATAAGACGAATCCCGAGCCGCCGCGCCCCGGCCCACCGCCGAGCCTATCGGGGAGAAGGGCGAGGAGGTGTTTGCAGGATTGTTGCCGATGCTCGCGCTGCTGAAACTGCTGCTCCCGAACCCGCCCAGCCGGCCTACACCCCCCCCCCCTCCCATGCTCCCGGGCCCACTGCTTCCCATGCTCTCCCCGCTTTGCCCTGCCGCCCCGCCCCAACCACCCCCACCACCAGCAGCACCAGCAGAACCGGGCAGGTTCATGCGGCCGCTAGGGGAATGGGTGAGGAGGGCGAAGTGGGCGGGAGGGGGCGTGGCAACACGGCCTGCGTAGCTATCAGCAGGCCAGCAGGCTGACGCCCAGAGACTGTCAAACACTGCTGAGCCGGCCGCAGCCGCATGACTGCCGTAACCAGACGCACCGGCGTAGCCAGTGGAACCGGTGTGACCAGTGGAACCAGCATAAGCAGAGGCACCGGAGATCCCAGAGGAGCTAGATGAATGAATGTCGAAGAAGAGGAGGCCCTTGCGATTGGTGGCCACCACTGCTTGTCTCGGATTCAGTGCATTCACACAGACCCCTTCCAGGAGCTCTCCCCCCGTTTTAAGCACCTCCAGAGGCTCCCCAAGCGCTGTTCTCGCCCATCTCACACCTGCCTCCTCTTCCTCCTCTCCCCTCTCTCCCCCCTCACCCGACTTGTTGTCGTCTGGTTCTTCTCCTGCCCCTCCTTTCACCCTCCCCCCCTGCTCGCCCTCACTCGCTCCTGCCTTCCTCGCCTGTTCCCTCACATCCCCCATGCTCCCCCCTGCGCTTCCCCACTTCCCTCCTCCTCCATCCACCTCCTTCTCCCTCCCAATCAGACCAATCAGGCTCGGTGTTGACACTGCTCTTGACCCCAACCCCCCTACCCCAAGACTTAACTGCGCCTCTGTCTGCACTCGCTCCATTCCTCCCCCAGTGCCCCCCCTCCCCCCCCCTCCCTTTCCCCCCTGCTTCCCCCCATCCCCCCCCTGCGCCTCCCCCAGCTGTCACCTTCCCCTGCCCACCTCCTCCTCCGCCCCAGCCTCCTCCTGTTTCTCCTCCTCCACCTCCCCCTCCCCATCCGTCGCCTCCTTTTCCTCCGCCTGCCGCGGCTGCTGCTGCAGCTGCTGCTGCGGCGGCGGATTTTCGAGCTGCCCTTTCAGCTGCTGCAACGTCAGCCTCCCTCCTCTCCCTCCATGCTGCCAGCTCAGCAAAATCAAATCCATCGACGCCCAGAACACTGCGCAGCTTGTCCTTAGCGACCACAAGCTGCCAAAGCTTGCCACACGCCCGGCCCCACTCACCCAAATCACATGTCCCTCCCTCCTCCAGAACCTTCCCTCCCCTTCCTTCCACCCCTCCCCTACCATCCTTCCCTTCATCCTTCGCCCCTCCTCCTGCCCTCGCCCCTCCCACCCCTGTTGATCCCAATGCACTTTTCCCCAAAACGGAAGGTCCCCTAGTACCACCTACCCCAGGTCTACCTCCCTCCAGCCTCCCACCAGCCTTACCAGCAGCAGCAGCAGCAGCACCTCCAGGCGCTTCAGCCCCGTTACTAGCAGCTTCGATATAAGCAACATCTGTTGCAGCAGCAAGGACTAAAACAGGGCCGGATTCAGGGAACTCGAGCACTGTATGGGGTACGTTAGGGAGCAATGGGCACGTCTCAACGCGGGTATGATGAGCTACACTGCTGAAATCCGTCCCTCCTGCTGTTCCCCCTGACGCTCCTCCTGCCGTTCCTCCTGCAAGTCCTCCTGCAGTGGCGCCTGGTGCAATCCCTGCTGCTCCTGGTGCTGCAGCGCTAGCTGTGCCGGGATGGGCGGATGGCAGGTGCAAGTGCGTGGAGGCTGCATGGGTCGTGGCAGCAGCAGCAACAGCGCCGCCATGTCCATGTGCGTCTGGGTGTGTGGGTATGTTGCCATGGTGCCGTGACATGTGGCCCAGGCCACCACTGCTGTGCATCTGCTGCTGATTGTGCTGCTGCATGTGCTGCTGGTGAGTGTGCTGGTGCTGCTGCTGCTGCCCGTGCTGCTGGTTGTGCTGGTGGTGGCTGTGATGCAGCGAGTGTTCATCTGCCAGCCACTGGAGCAGCCCATCCGCTGCTGCTACGGACGCCAGGTGAGCATACGCAGAAACAGCCTCCTCCTTCTCCTTCAAACCACCACCATTGCCAGCACCGCCACCCGCAGCAGCACTAAGCTGTACGCTCCTGGTGCCCACACCCCGCGCTCCTGAACTTACACCCCCCCCACGCACGTGCATGCGGGTGCTGACGTGTGCCGCCAGCTGGCGCCTGAGGGCAGACGCCACGCGTGCAGACGCGAGGACCAGCGCGTCAGACGCAGCTGCAGCAGCACATGCATCTGGTAGGAGCGCCTGTGGAAACAAATGGGCGGAATGTGCTGCTGCGTCTCTGTTTCCCCCTCTCCCCACCCCTGCAACTGCCCCTGTTCTTCGCTCACCCTCTCCTCCTGCCCTATCTGCTGCTTTGGCTGCTGCTGCCACTGCCGCTGCAGCAGCTGCTGATGCTGCTCCCGCCATCCCCCCTCCTGCTGCCCCTGTAGGCTTCAGGTGGGAGGGTGCGGGGGAGGGAGCAGGGGAGGGCGCGGGGGAGAGGAGGGAGGAGGAGGAGGAAGGGGCAGGGGAAGCGGGAGAGGTCCAAGGCCGGGAGAAAGCAGAGAAGAAAGAGGATGGGGCAGGTGGGGGCTGCTGCTGCTGATGGTGGTGATGGTGGTATTGCTGCTGCTGCAGCAGCTGGTGTTGGTGCTGGTCAGGGGAGAGAAGGGCGTGGGGGTGGAGGTGGGGGGAGAGAGGAGGGGTGGAGAGGGTGGGGGTGGTGGTGCCGCTTTGGGGTGGGCTGTAGGGAACAAAGTGGTGCGGCGGCTGCCAGTGCTGCTGCTGCTGCTGGTGGTTGTGGTTGTGATGCTGGGGAAGGAGATGGGAGAGATGGAGAGGGTGAGCCGGGGGGGCTTGCATGGGACTGCGCCCCCCCTGCCCCTGCTGCCCCACCTGCTGCTGCTGAGAAGGGCTGGGCTGCCCAAACAAACGACCCTGCTGCTGCTGCTGCAAGTGCTGCGGGTGCTGAGGCTGCAGCTGCTGCGGGTGCTGGTGGTGGTGGTTCTGCAGGTATGACTGAACAGGTGACATCCACCCAAACGACTGGAACGCCCGGCTAATAAGCGACGGAGGCACGGCCTGCTTCCTCACATACCACTCCACTAGCGACCACACTGACGCGCCCACAACGCGCCACATGTCGTCCTCTGATAGGACCACCACTTTTCCCTCGACAACCGCCCGTCCAGGTCCCACGAATCTGCCCTCCTCATCCTTCCCCCCAAGTTCTGCTGTGCCCTGTCCCACCTCCTTCTCCTTATCTCCCTTTCTCTCCCCCCCTGCACCATTAACACCCCCTTCTGTATGCACCAGCCCCCCTCCATGCTCTCGCTCCCCTCCTTCGCCAGCCACCCCACCTCCCCCATTCAACCGTCTCTCCAACCCCAGAAACCACTCCAGGCAATCCTCCCCCTCCCCAGACAACACAGGCGCTCCACCAACCCCCCCAACCCCTAATCTCCCCCCCACACTCCGCACGACTCTCTCCCCTTCCCCATCTCCCCCCATTTTCTCACCAAACCCTCCTTCCCCGACCCCTCTCCATCCTCTCTCCCCGCCTCGCTCCCTCACCACTGGCTCGAGCAGTCGAGCAAGGGTGAGAGGGCGGTGAGACATCCAGGCAGCAGTTACAAAGCAGATGAGAGCCAGAGCAGCCACTACTCGCCCCTCGGCCTCTATCTTCTGCTCTAGCAAGGTCTCTGAATTGTCTAGAGCCATGTGGGGCGGGATGGGGGATGTGGGGGGTGTGAATGATGGGCTTGATGGGTGGTTTCTTGCATTGGCAGCAGCAGCAGCTGTTGTTGCAGCAGCAGGGGCAGAGGCAGAGGTGGAGGCAGAAGCAGCATGGGCGGCGGTAGAAGCAGAGGCAGCAGCGGCAGCTCGCATTGCTGCTGCTCCTTCCCGCCACATCTGCAGGATCTCCCCTGCCACGTGGACCAATCGCAACGCATCCACGCCCAGACCCTCGTCCAGATAATGATTTAGCAAACGCTGCTTTTTCTCCTGCTGCTGCTGTCCCTGATGCTGCCGCTGCTGCTGCTGCTGCTGCTGCGGCTGCTGCTGTGGTGGGAATTTCGTTTCACCAGGCCCAGAACCTACTCGCTTCACCCTCCACCTCCCTCCGCCCACCGCCCCTCTCCCCATGACCACCCGTGACAGTGCGGGGGGGAGACTGACGGCCACCCGCCTAAGGATTACCATGCACAGCTGTGCGCGTAGATCTTCAATAAGGTGGGGCGGATGGACGGTGGAGATTGCATCTGGGCGCGGGAGCGGCCTGGGGATGGCCCATTGTGCCATGTGGGCCGTGACGTGGCATAAGGTGAATGGCTGAGAGGCCGTTATGGCCTGGGAGGATATCTGGAGGGAAAAGAGAAGGGAGGTGGGGGAGGTGGGGGGTGGGTGGTGGGGGGAGATTGGAGTGGAACGGTTGAAACTGGAACTGAAGGGGATGTGACTGGGAACGGGAAGAGGGAATGAGGAAATAGAGGCGGTGGCAGTGAGGACGCCACAAATGGATTTAGTACAGAACGAATAGGGAGGTCAAGAGCAGTCCAATGGACAGCACAGGAAGGAGTGGTGTCATGCAAGGGAGTTACTGAAGCCAAGTATCAGATGGGGCAGTGAGAAGGGGAAGGAGACTCACAGCAGCGAGGGCAGCAGTGTGATCGCTCGCACAGTGCTTAGCCCATGCCTCCACCTCCTCCACCACCTCACACACCCCCCTGCTCCCTCCTCCCCTCCCTCCTCCTCCTCCTCTTCCTCCTCCCACTCTCCCGTCTCTCCCACCGCTCTTAACATCTCCGTCTACCACGCTAGCAGCAGCAAGGCAGGCAGCAGCTCTCTGCTTCAGCAGCTGCCGCAGCTTGGCTGATTGCACTGCTGCCACCACTGCAGGCATCACCCATCCCTCCCCCACTACCGCTGGTACCGAACCTACTGTCTTCCCGACCATTGCCCCCATGGGAACACTTAAACCAGCTCCACCGGAACCTACAGCACCATTGCTGCCTGAGCCCACGTTCATGCCTTCGAAATCCAGTGCCCCACCACTGAAGCCACCAGCACCGCTCTGCGCCTGACCAGCACCGCTCTGAACCGGACCCAAACCCCTCTGCTTGGTGATTTCGAGCACAGATTGCAGCACAAGTCCCATGTGGTCGCCCCCACTGACAGCCTCAACTGCTGCCACTGCTGCCAGTCTCTGCACTGCCTCCGTCTCCTCCCCCAGACCTGGCTTCTTTGCCACTGTGGCGCAGAACGCCGCCACCTCAGCGCCAGCTGGCTCGGCTGCTGACATGGCGGGGTGCGACGGGGTGAGTGCTGAGCTGGCAGTGGCGGTGGTGGAGGAGGAGGAGGAGGAGGAGCGAGTGAGGGAGGGAGTGTTGGTGTTGTAGTGGGAGGACAGGACAAGGCCTTGGAGGGCTTCGAGCTTTTGTCCCATAAGCCACTGTGAAGGGGAGTAGACAGGGATGGATGGAGCGGCAGGGCAGGCACGGCATGGCTTCACTTCTGCAGGATGTGATTGGAGATGTGTGGCAGGGTGATATGATGCGAGCGGGGCAGGCAGGAACTGGCAGTGAGGAAGAACTTAAATTCCAAAACCAAAACGCCTCACTTTAAGCGTGCAAACCATCCAGGCATCCCCTTTGGAAACAGCATCCGGCAGCAGCAGGCGCTGAATCACGTCCCTCGAGTACGCTCCAGCCCCCGCCTTGTCCTCCCTCGGCCGGCACAGCACGAGCGCCAGCTGCGGATCCCCGAGGTTGCGCGCACAGACGGACGGAGGCAGCAGAGGGAATGTCACTTTCTCACCTTGAGAGTGCAGACCATCCAGGCGTCCCCTTTCGAAACAGCCTCTGGCAACAAGAGCCGCTGAATCACATCCTTTGAATATGCTGCCGCCCCCGCCTTGTCCTCCCGCAGCCGGCACAGCACGAGCGCGAGCTGGGGGTCGTTGAGGTTGCGGGCGCACACAGAGGCGGCGGAGGGGATGTCGTCTCCCAGGAGGAAAAAGGTGGCTGCGAGGTCGAAGCGGTGCTGCGACAGCAACACGTATGCATTCTTCAGAGCTGCTGCTCTGTGCCGCTCCTCCTGTGACAGGGGGGGATGGAAGAGGGAGTGGAGGGGGCAGACAGCACAATGGTGCCTGGCAGGTCAAAGCGGTGCTGCGACAGCAGCACATACGCGTTCCTCAGTGCTGCTGCTCTGTGCTGCTCCTCCTGTTAGGGTAGGGAGTGGAGAATGGAAGAGGGGACGGTGGGAGTGAAAGGGAGGGAGGGAGGGAGGGCGGGAGGGAACATTGGTCAGCTTGTTGAGGTTGCGGGCGCACACGGAGGCAGAGGAGGGGATGTCGTCTCCCAGGAGGAAAAAGGTGGCTGCGAGGTCAAAGCGGTGCTGTGAAAGGAGCACATACGCATTCTTCAGAGCTGCTGCTCTGTGCCGCTCCTCCTGTGAGGATGAATGGTGGGTGGGAATGGAAGCAGGAGACGCAGTTGGAAGGAGGGGGTAGGGGTGGGGCAGAAGGGGAAGTGGGGTATCCGGGGTAAAGCAGTGGTTGGGTCGGAACAGCCCTGTTGTCACAGTACAAGGGCTGGGGTTTCCTTGAGGGAATGTCGTCGCCCAGGAGGAAGAAGGTGGCTACGTGTATGAAGATTGGTTTTAAGACGTCTCAAAACCAATCTTCATAGCAGTGGTTGGGTCCGAACAGCCCTGTTGTCACAGTACAAGGGCTGGTACAAGGGCCAGCTGGGGATTCCTTGAGGGAATGTCGTCGCCCAGGAGGAAGAAGGTGGCTGCGAGGTCAAAGCGGTGCTGCGACAGCAACACGTATGCATTCTTCAGAGCTGCTGCTCTGTGCCGCTCCACCTGTTAGGGTAGGGAGTGGAGAATGGAAGAGGGGAAGGTGGGAGTGAAAGGGAGGGAGGGAGGGCGGGAGGGAACATCGGTCAGCTTGTTGAGGTTGCGGGCGCACACGGAGGCAGAGGAGGGGATGTCGTCTCCGAGGAGGACGAAGGTGGCTGCGAGGTCAAAGCGGTGCTGCGAAAGGAGCACATACGCGTTCTTCAGAGCTGCTGCTCTATGCCGCTCCTCCTGTGAGGATGAATAGTGGGTGGGAATGGAAGCAGGAGAAGCAGTTGGAAGGAGGGGGTAGGGGTGGGGCAGAAGGGGAAGTGGGGTATCTGGGGTAAAGCAGTGGTTGGGTCGGAACAGCCCTGTTGTCACAGTACAAGGGCTGGGGATTCCTTGAGGGAATGTCGTCGCCCAGGAGGAAGAAGGTGGGTGCGAGGTCAAAGCGGTGCTGCGACTTCAGTGGTGTTGAGAAAGGAGCACATACGCGTTCTTCAGAGCTGCTGCTCTGTGCCGCTCCGCCCGTGAGTGTGAACAGGAGGGATGGCGGGGGAAAGCAATTGGAGGGAATGGGCAGGTGTGGGCCAGGAGGACATGGGGATGGGGTTTGAAGCACAGAAGGACGCTGACCCCGACCCTGACCCCGACCCTGATCCCGACCCTGACCCCGACCCTGAACCCGACCCTGACCCAGGCCCTGACCCCGACCCTGAACCCGACCCTGACCCAGGCCCTGACCCCGACCCTGACCCCGACCCTGAACCCGACCCTGACCCAGGCCCTGACCCCGACCCTGACCCCGACCCTGACCCCGACCCTGAACCCGACCCTGACCCAGGCCCTGACCCCGACCCTGACCCCGACCCTGACCCCGACCCTGAACCCGACCCTGACCCAGGCCCTGACCCCGACCCTGACCCCGACCCTGACCCCGACCCTGAACTCGACCCTGACCCAGGCCCTGACCCTGACCCTGTCCCCCCCGCAAGCCCCTCAAGAAACCCTCCTAAGGCCCATGTTTCACGTACCGTGAAGTCCCTCCCCAGGAAGTCCACCAGTTTCTTGTCGCGGTCGTCGCGGCTGAGCTTGAGCAGCCCGTGCAGCACGGAGCGGCGGTCCAGAACCATGTAGAGCAGCGCGCAGTCCTTGGGATCCCGCCTCTGCTGGTACTGCGCCCGCGCTACCCGCTCCATCTGAGGGGAGGGAGGGTGGTACGGTAAGATAGGGAAAGAGATGGAACGAGATGGAACGGGTGGCAAAAGCGTAGAAACCGCCACACTCCACTACACTCCACCACACTCCAATACACTCCAGCACACTCCGCCACACTCCACCACACTCCAATACACTCCAGCACACTGCGCCACACTCCACCACACTCCACCACACTCCACCACAATCCACCACACTCCAGCACACTCCAGCACACTCCACCACAAGATAGACTATAGATGGCCATACACCCACCAGCTGTCTGAGCTGCGTGGTGTTGCAGAGCCAGTACCCGACTCCCAGGGCCTTGAGACCCGCCCACGTGGGTTTGTCAGCATCATGCAGGCATGCATTCACCACATCACCCACTGACTCCGTGTGCACCGCCCACGCCACTGCACGCGACTCCACCTCCAGCTTCCCCTCCTGCCCCTCCCCCTGCCCCTGCTGCTGCCCCTGCCCCTGCTGCCCCTGCACCTGCCCCTGCCCCTGCTGTTGCTGCTGCTGTCCAAGCCCACCTGCCCCAGATGAACCTGCCCCGGGCCTGCTGATGATGATGAGCCTACGGGCAGAGAAAGAGCCGAAGGCAGAAGCTGCTGCTCCTGCTCTGGTGGTTGCTGCTGAGGCGGCCTTTTCAGCTGCTGCAGCTGCGGCTGCGGCTGCGGCTGCGGCTGCGGCTGCGGCAGCAGCGCGGCGCTGCTGGTGCTTCTTTGCTGCACGGGAGAGGTGGAGTGCGAGCCAGAACCTGCAGCACGGAGGGAGGGAGTGAAGAGGGGGGAGGGGCGGGAAGGGGAGAAGAACTCTGTCAGCAGTTGTTAGTGTCATTTTGCTGCACGGGAGGGGTGGAGCGCGAGCCAGAACCTGCAGCAGGGAGGTAGAGAGAGAGGGGAAAAGACAAGCTCAGCTGAGAGGCGAGAGGCTTCTGAGGCTTTCGAGACTAGACTGCATGTGAGAGGTGCAGTGTGCTGTCCGCCAGGAGAACGTGTCAGGCTGTCAGGCTGTGGAGGAAGAATGTGAGGGGAGAAAGAGTAAGATCAGTCGAACTGGGGAACGGAGGAGGGAAGGAGGAAGGGAGGGAGGGAGGGAGGAAGGGAGGGATGGCAGACGGACGGACGGAGGGAGGGAGGGAGGGACGGAGGGACGGAGGGAGGGAGGTAAGGACAAGAGACTACCTTTTCCCCGGTTCATCTAGAGCCTTGACTGCTCGCGCCACTGACGCTGCTGCTGTTACTGCTGACGATGAAGAACCACCCTCAGGCTGCTGCAACTCCTCCTCCTCCTCCTCCTCCTTCACACCCACCCCATCCATGGCTGCGAGCACGTCTAACAACACCACCACCATGTCCGCCTCCGCTGCTGTCAACCCAGAGGTGTACCACACACCAGCCATCCGTGTACCACTACCACCACCAGAGGAGGTACCTGTGCTGCAGGTCCCGCCTGCCTCAGATAGCACCTGGAAGATGGCTGTTGCTTCGGCCTCTGTGAAAGGAGCTTGCCCCCCCACCAGCACCTGCTGCTGCAACTGCTGCCACCGCAGCACTGCAGGTGGAACAACGCCACTACCCTTCACTCCCAACCCTCCTCCTCCTCCTCCACCACCACTATCAGCACCCTTGCTGCTCTCTCCTGCTCCAGCTGACCCTCTCTTCCCTCCCACGTCCACCTCTTCCCCCTCCTCCTCCCCATCACTGTCATCCAAAGCACTTCTCACGTTCACGAGACTAAAAGGATTATACGCTTGCTTGGACCCACCACCACCACCACCACCACCACCACCACCACCACCACCACCACTCGCCCTTGCACTAGTCCCCCGACCAGCGCCCCCCCCACCCCCACCAGACCTGCTTCCCATACTACTTTCTCCTGTGCTGCTAAACCCAGCAAAACCCCCTCCAGACCCTCCAAATCCCCCAAAATCCCCTCCGAATCCCCCCGACAGACGTCCGGACGAGGCAGCAGCAGCAGCCTTCGCGACAGGTGCACCTGAGGCAGAGGAGGAGGCTTCAGGGAGGCACAGCTGTGAATAGGGGACACATGGAGGGATGCAACAACCAGTGGAGGAAGAGGAGGAGGAAGACGAGGAGCCATGGCAGGTCTGAGAGATAAAACCCTTAACCGGCTGGTGCTGGCTGTGAGCACTGTGAGCCTTGGCTTGGGCTGCAGCGAGGGAGCGCGAGAGGTGGCGGATGCATGCACGTGCAGAAGGCAGCAATCCCTGGTTGAGTAGAGTCCAGATGACCGTGGGGTGGTAATCTGGTACCACTGATGCCACTGCTGCCACCGCATCAGACAGCAACAGCCGCCCGCTGCCGTCCAGCGCACGAACCAGCGCGGATACTTTCACATCCTCTCTTTCCGACCCTGCTTCTGCGATCACCTCACCTCCTCCTGCCTCTCCTGTTCCACTGGTGAACTGTCCCCCACTGCTGCTAGCGTCACGCCTCGCAGGGCTGCCCAGAAGGCCAAAGTTGGGGGCAGACGGAGTGTATGGCAACACTCGTCCCCCTCCCAGCACCCCTGCCCTTCCTCCCCCTCCTCCCCCTCCTGCCCCTCCTGCTCCTGACCCTATTCCTGCTCCTGCACCTGTCCCTGCTGTGCCTGCCCCAGCCAGAACACTCTGAGCGGCTGCTAGAGCTGGGTCTGAAGCTGACAGTGGCAGAGACAGGCGGCTGGACACCCGAGCCACGGGCCGAGCCTGCGCGCCAGCCCCGGACCTGCCGCTTCGGGAAGCCACGACTGCAAGGTCTGTCAGGCTGATGTGCGACATGGAGGTGAGGCTGAGCTGGGAAGTGGCAGGGGAGATCCACGGGGAGACGGAGAGGGACAGGTCTGCTGCGGATGGCTCTCGGGAATAGGCAAGCCCAAGCCCAGCCTTGCCTGCTGTAAACCCTGCCCTGACTCCTCCACCTGCTCCTGCTCCTCCTCCCCCTCCTGCTGCTGCTGGTGTCACATCCGCTGCACCAGCTCCTGCTGACCCTGCACCTTCCCCTGCTGCCCCGACTGCTTCTACAGCTGCCTCAGCTCGCATCACAGGGCTGATCACCAGCAGCTGCTGCCCCGTCCCCACCAGCAGCACCCCTTGTGGGGCCCACGACAAGCACCGCACGAATCCCACCTCCCCCAGCTCCACCCGCCCCACCTCCACCCACCCCGCCCACCCTGGGGCTTTCCACCCCCCTGCCCTTACCGCCTCCACTGAATCACGCCTCCCTGTAGAAGCTTCCTGGATCCTTCCCCCAGACCGATTCCATTCCTGGTACACGCTTCCCCGATCCTGACCGGGACCAGAACCAGCAGTGCCGCTGCCAGTGCCAACCCCGGTACCAGCCAATCCACCAGCAGAGGCACTAGGGGAGCTTAGGGGGTCGGTGGAATTGGGATCAAGGGGAAGAGGAGCAGGGGTGCGGGCACGTGTAAAGACACAAACCCTAGCTGCGGCGGCGACTGCAAGGAGAGAATGGCCATTGCCAGGATCGTGCCAAGCCATGAGCACTGCTTCGGGTCTGCCCAACCATTCCAGAGCGCCAGGTTCGGCAGAAGCAGCCCCGGCTGTTGAAGCGGTTAGTGGGGTTAGGGAGACTTGAATTTCTCCTTCCAGTCGAAAGGATGACCAGCCGTGAATAGCAGCAGGAAGCATTTCCCAAAGCGACACAGTTGTTCCTGGGATTTGCTGTCCCAGGAACCCCCTCTCTGTTTCGGTGTTCGCTGTATCAGATACTGCTTCGGTTGCTGGTTCGTTTGCCGTTGCGTCTGCTCCTCTTCCTGCCACTGAAGCGAACAAGGTTCCACTCGGACATGCGCTGGTGCTTATAACGGGACCAGAGGACACTCTAACGCAGCCAACACATTCCCAAGCTCCAGAGCTGCTGCTCTCTTCCACTGCTGCTGCTGCGTCTGCTCCCGCTGCTCCTGCTGCTCCTGCTGCTCCCGCTGCTCCCGCTGCTCCTGCTGCTCCTGCTGCTCCCGCTGCTCCTGTTGCTCCTGTTGCAGCTCCTGCTGCTGCTACTACTGCTGCTGGTGCTGCTGCTGCATCGTTTGCTTCACAACTTACTGCAGCCTCAATTCCCGTCTCCTTCCAGAATCGCATGCAACCATCACTGCACCCGACTGCAAACTCATAAGGCAGACCCTCCTCCTCCTCCTCTGCGTGCTTCCCCTTGGGCAGCCCAAAACGGGCAGCAAACTGCCCAGAACCAAACTGCTCAGAACCAAACTGCCCAGATCCAAATTGTCCAGACTCAAACTGCCCAGATTCAAACTGCCCGGAAGTTGCAGAACCAGCTCCTGCCCCTGAAAGCAAACCGCCAGCCTCCTCCAACCAACCCCTTCGACTCAACATCTCTTGCAATGCCTGCAGTTCAGAAGAACCAGACGCACCAGCAGTACCAGCTGTCCCTGTACCATCAGCAGCGGCATGTTTCCCTCCTCCCTGATGCAAAGCACCACCTGCACCACCTGCTTTAGGAGGAGACGCCCATATTGAGTCATTCACAGGGGCGCAGTGCAGGCACGTGACCCGGCGGCTGCTGGGAAACCTGATCACACGTGTGCTTGTCGTTACAGCTGCCACCCCCTCTCCGCCCTCTCCCTCCCCTCGTTCCCCTCCTTTTCCTTCCTCCCCTCCTCCCTCGGCTCCACACACACCCACCAGCCAGCCAACAGCATTTTCTTCCCATGCTGCTCCCTCCACTCCTTCCGCTCTTTCCTCGCCTTCCCCTGCTTTCCCCTCGTCAGTAATAGCCCTAAATCCCACGGACTCCTTCTCTGTGTGCACTCTCGCCCTTGCCTCACCCCTCTGAACGCATATTTCCACAGTCCACACGCACACACACAGCCCGCCCTGTCCCACACCCACCACTCGAATCCCCCTCCTCTCTCCTCTGCCTGGCCTGGCAGGACCTGCAGCTGCTGAATTCGTTGGAGTTGAGGATGCAGAATGGGTGGCAGAGTGGGGCGTGTGAGGCAGGCAGGCAACACCCAGGAACGGACCAGCTGTGGCAGCAGCTGTAGCGGCAGCTGTGGTAGCACCACCTGCAGCTTCCTCTACAGGTGCTTCAGGGAATGCGTTCAGGAGAGTGAGAGAGCACAGCCAGCTGCACTCTACACGCTCCTCCTCTGCATCACCAGCATAACCCCCCCCCGGACCCCCATGCCCCCCATGATGCTCGCCCCCCCCTGAATGCTCGCCATCCCTTTCCTCACGTATACGCCTCACCAGATACAGCTCCACACTCCCAGTGCCAGCAACAGCCAATACGCTGCCGCCACCTGGCAGCAGAACAGGCGCCCATGCCAGCCGTGCAAAACCCCTCTCATATCCACCTCCCCCACTGCCTGGGACAGCTGGCGGAAGCGAGCCCAGCAGAACCCACTCGTTAGAAGCACCTTCCGGGGTTTCCGTGAGGAGGGGGAGCCAGGGAGGGGCGCGAGGGCCCCACAGGAGAGTGTCACCATGAGCATCTAAGGTGGCAGCAAGAGGGAAGCCTGGAGCTGGGTGGACAGCTACCTCTGTGATCGCCCCTCTGTGCCCTGCCAGATGCACGTGCTGACTCACTGATCCCCATGCTGCCCTCCTGCTGCTCGCAATGGCACCGCCGCCGCTGTTGCTCATGTGACTGCTGCTGCTGCTGTTGTGGCTGCTGTAGCCCGTACTGCCATGCTGTGCTGCCCCTCCGCCGACCCCCCCTGTTGCCCCATGCCCATCCGCCGCGCTGCCACCAATCCTGCCCCCAAGTTTCCCCCCGGCTCCGATCGCTAGCACGGGCGGCCACAGGCGGGACCAGCGCACGAAGCTTCCAGGTAGCTTCTCTGCGATTTCGACAGCCATGGGAGGGCTCCCGGACTGGCCGGTAACTCTTTGCACGATGGCTGATATGAGGTGGGTTGTGGGGCTGGAAGGGTGGGTGTGATTGCTGTAACTCTGAAGGTGCGTGTGATTGCTGTGGCTGAGAGCCTTATCCTGAAGAACGCCAGTTGCCTGCTGCCACATCATCACGCGTGGACAGCGAGGAGGTGAAGTGTCATCCAGGCAAAACACTGCCCAGAGAACCACAGTCCCACGTGGCCCCACGCCAACCAGCCACTCACAGGGCGCCACGTCACCTCCCTGTATCACCTCAACCCCGAATGACCCCTTTCCTCCTGCTGCTCCCCCTCCCCCTCCTCCCACACTCACACTCTTACTCCCATCACCCACCCGCACCTCTTTTGCCCACAGCACAGATATATCCATTCCCAATCTCCCTCCAAGTGTCATGTTCCCATCAACAACAGCGCAGACAAAGAAAGCAGGAGGGGGCGCCCATCTCCCCTCTTCAGATGATTGCCTCTCTGCCCCCTTCCTTCTCTTCTGACCGAACCCAGCCTCCAGGTTCGGATTCTCGTTCTGGTTCCCGTACCTGCTGCTCCCAGGGTGCTTCGGCGAGCTCAATCTGCTCCCGGTCCGGCTCCCCGAACCTGCTGCTCCTGCCGAGCCTCCAGCCTTGGCTCGACTGCTGCCACTGTCAATCTCCATCCAGAGCCGTACTGTGCCATCGTCAGAGCAGGTCAACAGGATCGGACGGTGGTACGGCGCCGAACCTGATCCACCCGTTCCAGCTCCACCTGCACTAGTTGCACCTACCCCAGAAGAAGACAAAGGCTTGGAGGCTGTATCTTGTGGCCTCCACTGGACTGCCAGCACAGGTGCGGGGTGTGGCAGATCAACAACAGACACCGCATCATCGTCCTCTTCTTCCTCCTCATCATCCTCACCATCCTCCTCCGCACCCTCCCCATCGTCATCGCCTTCCATATCCCCTACACCCGCTCCTGAGTCATCTCTTCCTGAAACACCCACAACTCCCTCACTCGTCCCGTTAACCAATTGATGTCTGCTTGCAACCTCCCCATGGCCATCACCATCACCACCACCATCAGATGTGGAGCACTGGTCTCCCCAGTAATACCAGACCCTAGCCATACCCTTCGGCCGTCCCCACGCTGTCCCAACTCTTCCTCCAACTCCTCCTCCTCCTTCTCCTACTGCCACATCAGCAGTAGCAGCAAACCCATCCGCATGCAGCGAGGTCGCAGCCAGTCCCTGCGCGACACTTGTCTGCACCTGCCACAGACACGTCAGCGGCTGCAGCAGGGGCGCGTTCTGCTGCTTCTTCTTGGAACGATGCCACATGGCGACATTCGATTCGCCGCTGATCAGAAGGCCGTCTGCTGAACCAGTCCAGGCGAGGGAGATGACCTTGGAGGGGAACTGGATCAGCTGAGCAGGCCGCCATGAGAGGGGGATGTCTGCAGAAACGAACAGCAAAGGCAAAGGGAAAAGGGGTCTTGGATGTTCAAACTGCCTCCTAACCCAGTAAGTCCAGCCGAGGGAGATGACCTTGGAAGGGAACTGGATGGATCAACTGAGCGGGTCGCCATGAGAGGGGGATATCTGCAGAGACGAGATAGTGAGGCACAGAAAGGAGCAGGAGGGAGGAGATTGATTTAGGGGCATTTGCCGCCTTGGAAGGGAACTGAATCAGCTGAGCAGGCCGCCATGAGAGAGTGATATCCGCAGAGACGAACAGAAGGTGCAGTGGAAGGATTGCAGTTCATTCAAACTGTTTGTTACGGGAATTGACACCAGAAGGGAACTGGGTACATGCGGCAGGCAGCTACAAGAAGGAGATCTCTGCACAAGGGATGAACAGAGGTAAGGGGAGTAGTTTAGAACTCTATTAAGAACAATGATTTCGAGAAAGAACCAGGATCAACCAACTGAGACTCCATAACGGGGAGATGATTTGCGTGCAAAAGTGAAAGAATTAGCAATCAAGGTGTTGATTACCTTGGCAACTCGGAGCAAAGAGGTAAATGCATGTTCCCTTAGCTGCAGCTAGAACGCCCGCCAAGGTGCTATCCGGTGCTGCCCATGTCACAACGGCTACCTGATCCCTATCCTCCACACACGGAAATTTTCTTGCAGCTTCCTCTTCTGGTCTCCTCTGGTCAGCCAAGATTGGGAATGAGCGGTTCGCGAGATCCACATCAGCAGATTCTGGATTGAGCGACGGCGGGAGTTCCAGGACCTGGTGATAGAAACGGGCGCCACGTGGCAGGCTGTCCTCTCGCGCGCCGCTGCCGTGCACGAGCCACGGAGCGGTTGTGATTACAACGCAGCCACCTGCGCCGTAAGCCAGCCAGCTGTGACCGGCGAAGCTTCGCAACCAATCGGCGGCTGCGGGAACGTCGTTCACCCGAGGCGGGAGAGATTGCTGCGGAGTAAGCTGGAAGAAGAGCGACGCTGTCTCATCCATGGCTGGAAATTGCTAGAATGAAGCTGTATGCATCAGAGCTCAAGATTGTTTGTCCGTCTTGCCAGAAAGATTGCTAAGTCTACTCGACATTTCCGTATGCACTGGCATCAGACCGAGACGATCGACTAGGCTTTTCCCTCATGAACTGCCTGGAAGTTGGTTACTAGGAAAAGAACCCAAGGTTGGTCGGTACATTGTGGTCAGCTCTGAAGGACATCGAGAGCAGTCATTGAAGAGGAAGCCATCGAAATTGTCATGGGAAATGCCAACCAAGTGCTCGGGTTCTGCTGGCACGCTGGTTGTGGAAATTGCCTGGTTTCAGTGGGAATTATAAAAATGCTACAGTTAAGCATACTCAATATGGTGTAATTCCTCAAGGGAAAAAAAACAGCACAATTACAACCACCAAAAGGTATAACAAACCCTGGTGCGCCCGCACCTGCATCCCCACCCTCTCCAACTGCTCCGCGGATCCGAGTTTCATGCTCTAGAGTATATATCGTTCGCGTAGCTCAGGAACAAGACTCCACGAACTCCTTGATGACAAGCTCTATGACCTTCTATTGCACGAAACAAAGAGGAAGGGGCTGAGTGGTGTCAAAATAGTAGCTTGAGGGAGAGACTAGGAGCCATACTAGGGTTTAGGCTAGGCATGACTATCGAGAGAATTGGAGCAAGGAGAAGGGTTTCACTATTGAGCAAAGGGTACAAATAGAGAACAAACAAGCAAGGAAAGGTGCACCACCAACAGTTTGTAACAATAACTACAGTAACTACACTATAGCTAGAGCTATAGCTATAGCTTTATGCACTTATACATAAATATATATAATATATATTCTGACACACCCCCTAAGTGCATGCAGGAATAGCCATGTGCATAACACCCTCTAAAGTGGTACACCCTGCAGAACGCAGCAGAAGGAGAGGGCAAGTGAGGAGGAGGAGGGACTATGAGAGGAGAGGAGGTAGGAGGCGGCAGATGAAGCTGCTGGCACACGGGCGACTGGAGCAACTGGCACACAAGCTACCGAAGAGCGTGTGTCAAAATGAGAAGTTGGAATGACTGTATTCAATTAATTGTGGGTACAAGTACTAACCCTAACATTGGGTTATACCCCATATTGGCTACCCCACTATAGCTTATACAGAACTAGCACAGATATAGTTTGACACACCCCCATAGGCAAAGTGGGGGAGAACAAGGGGTCAAAGGGCCAGTCAAGAAAAGCAAAGCAAGCTCAGGATGGATCACAACGTCACCACACACTCCGAGCACAAGCAAATGGCCACAAGGCCGGTTCACATATAAAGTTATATGAAGCAGAACAAGCAAGACAATGATCAAAATATAGCAAGAGTAAGCATGCGGCTACACGTATATAGATCACAGTACAAACAAAGTCAAGAGGTGAGCAAGTGAGGCCAAGTAGGCACAAGGCCTAGAACAGTACAAATTCGTTGATGATCACAAGGCTGAAGTGCCTTGGTGAAGATATCACCAGTGTTAGCCTGACAGGCCACGTAAGCAAGACGAAGCTGTCCACGGTGTTGCAACTCTCGAGCAAAGAAGTAACGCAGAGCGATGTGCTTTGTTCTGTGCTACAGTCTGTGCTCCTGACACAAGGCAATCATGGCCTTGTTGTCGACGTACTGAACTGGAGGAGAACAAGACGCCTCGCCCAAGTCGGTCAGCAGGTAGGTGAGCCAGCGTAACTCCTGTGCAGCCATAGCCCCTGCGCATATCGCAGCCTCACAACTAGAACTGCGAACAGAAGACGAGCGGGTAGACCGCCAAGAAACAGAGCCGGAGCCAAGGCTGAAAGTGTAACTCTGTGACGACCGCTGCGTAGCCAAGTCGTCAACCCAAGAAGCGTCTGCGTGACCAGTGAGGACAACTCGAGCCCGTCCTCCAAGCGCGAGCCCCATGCCCGATGTACTGCACAAGTAGCGCATCACCCTCTTAGCGGCCTCCAAGTGCTCTGGTCGGTGTCTCCTGCGCGCAACGTAGTGTGCCAAGATGCTAAGAGGGTAAGCAAGGTCAGGTCGAGTGCAGGTCATCGGGTACATGAGGTAGCCCACAAGCTCTGGATACGGGCCACTCGGCTCTACGAACTCATCCGAAGAGAGAGCTGAGAACGAGTGACCGGTAGGCAAAGGAGTGGACTGTGGCGAGGAGTACGTGAAACCGAAGTGCTGAAGGACCTGCTGCATCATGTGTGACTCAGTCAGGGTAATGGTGCGTCGTGCTCTGTCACGGGTGATCTGCAAGCCAAGATAGCTGCGCAGTTCTCCCAGGTCTGTGCACGTGTGTCTCGTCTGCAGCTCTGAATTTACAAGGGCGAGTCCCTCAGTGTCAGCAGTGGCAAAGACCAAGTCGTCGACGTACACGAGGATGTAAAACGGCGGCAGCGAAGTGTCGGTGCGCAGAAACAGCGACGGGTCAGCAGTCGAAGGAGCAAATCAAGGGCCGCAAGCGTCGTCCTCAGTGTATCGTGCCACTCGCGAGGCGCCTAACGGAGACCGTAGACTGGCCGCCGAAGGCTCCACTGGGTACCTGCAGGAAACGACCCAGTGAAGTCAGGTGGGCGGCGCAGCCAGTTCTCTTCGCGCAGGCTGCCCTGCAAGAAAGCAGTGCTGAAGTCAAGAGAGTGAAGCTCGTAGTCACGCTGAGCGGCGACGTGCAGCAGATCTCAAAGACTTGTCATCTTCGGGGTAGGAGAGAAGGTCTGGAAGAAGTTAAATCCCTGTCTCTGACTGAAGCCTCGTGCAACGTAACGTGCCTTGAAGATAGGCGGAGAACCCGGCGGCCACTTCACCCTGAAAATCCACATGCCACTGACAATGTTCGCCCCACGACGCCCTGTAAGCGAGTCTGTCTGCTGAATGTAAGGAGAAGGAGCAGGAAGAGAAGGGTCTGGCCGTAACGGGAGGCCAGTAGAAGACGGGAGGCTAAGAACCTAACCACAGGCGTCGCGCGAGGCTAGAGGTGGCGCGCAGGGCTACAGGCGGCGCGCGGGGCTACAGGCGGCGCGCGGGGTTACAGGCGGCGCGCGGGGCGCAGATGGGGTAGCGCGCTAGAGAAAAACGCACGCTGCATAAGTGGCGCGCAGATAGAAGGGGCAGCGCGCAGGTGGCGCGACGCGGGGTAGGGCAGTGGGTTAACACGGTAACTGCAGTCGGAATGGTGGGCCCGAAAAAAAAAAATGGTCCTACTGACCTACTGCTCCGAAACCATGTCAAACTGAGAAGCTAGAATGACTATATTGAATGAATTGTGGGTACAAGTACTAACCCTAACATTGGGTTGTACCCCATATTGGCTACCCCATTATAGCCTACACAGAACTAGCACGGATATAGTTTGACAGCGTGCTACGGCCGTAGCGGAATCGTACAGCTAGGTGCCACCTCCCCCCACAAAACTCTCCCAGGCGCTCCATGATCTAAGCTCTGTGGTCCATGCATGGCTTGCTTAAGATGGTGGTACACCCAATATGAGGTGTGGAAAGGCTATGAGAATTATGTCAAAACATATTTGTATGTTCCTAGTTCTGCTAGGCTACAGTGAGGTGCTCAGTAGAGAGTACAACACCAGTTAGGTAGTTAGGTTTTTATACTCGCATCTCCCTGTTGCTACGATAGTCATTCACCATTCCTGTTTTCATATCTCAACAGATAAGTGTGTCTGCTTCGTCCTTTGGGCAGCCCTTCAACCACTTCAGGACGCAGCAGAGTGCGTCAAGGATGCTCAGCTGAACTTGCAAAGGGATCCGGCACACTATTCCCCCCCCAACAGCTACCACGCTGATAAAGCATCACAATCCCAAGTAAAAAGTATCGCCAGACCTCCTCCTTGATGTTCCGCGGCGTCGGTCGACCCTGCATCTGTTCTCAACCAATGATGGGATTGAGCTGAGCGTATGTGCAAGCCTTTTTACCTCTACAATCTACCGTAGCATGCCCCCATATGGCTCGCAGCAAACTTTCGTGCGGCAAACGTATGGAAAACGTATCTCATAGGAAGCGTGGGCATGGGAAAGAAGGCCTTGAGAGCTCCGCAATCGCCACCTCTGGACCATTGGCCAAGGCTACGGGGTTGTCAAAAGCTGGTGGCAAACGACACCGGTAGGGTGATGATGACATATGAATTTGAGATGTATCTATACGGAGTTCAGGAGGTGCGGTGTAGTCATATCCGACTTATTTCTCTGCTCTTGTTACGCGATCAGTTTGTAGGTGAGCCAGGGCTAACCAAGCGGTGGAGATGAGATGCGGTGAGGTGAGGTGAGGCTACGGACGGCAGCGATTCGACGGAAAGACCTGTGTCAGGCGCAAGGCGCAGGACTTGGCTGTCGAGTTCCGAACCCACCACTCCCTAGACGTTGCCGGAAAATCGCAACCAATCAGGAACCTCGTAGGCTCCTGTAATATTCCTGCACGAGAACACAAGGCGGGAAAGGCGGAGCAGGACTGAACGGGGAGATCCGACCGAATTCACAAATCCGAGAGAAATGAGTTCTCCCAGTTTCCTCTTGGTTTCACTCAGTCTCTGAAGTTGTACTCAGTGCTTTGACAATCCATGCCCAAGACCGCAAATGATATACCACTGCTTTTCTTTTCTCTAGAGTGCTCTATTCTCAGACATTGCTTGGTAGATTGAGCACTGCTCCAGGAACTGGTTCAGTGTAAGACTTTGACTAAGTGAGGATCCGCGTTGTAGCTTGTTTCCACCATTTGCAGCAGGAAAACTTTCGTTGTGCTCTCCTCAGCATTTCCGGTATCAGGACCTGCTCGTCACACCCAAACTCGCATATTTCGGAAAGCAAAGCAGTCAATACTGCATCTGCATCAGCCATGTCGAGTCTAGCATCGGTAGGGCTAGAGCCGAGCGATAAGAAGACGCCGGTGAACAAGTGGGAGCTGTACGGGTGGTACTCGTACAATGTGGCCGTCAACGCCTTCAGCTCCGTCGCCATGCCCATCTTCTTCCCGCTCCTGCTGCTCCTGCTCGCCGAAGCACACGCATGGCTACAGGTGCGATACATCACATCATCCCTTTCCCCCCTACATTACCGGGAACAAGGTGATGTAGCAATTTCCGAGCATCAACTTCTTCGCTCCTGTTTCTCCTGCTCGCCGAAGCACACGCGTGGCTACAGGTGCGGATCCTTCCTTTCTCTGTAACAGTGAACAAGCTAGAAATGTTTTTTTTTGTTTCTCGCTCACGGGTTTCACACTATTCTCCTCGTCGCGGATGCAACAACGAAACTGGAAAAAGGAGATTATGTTCCTTTTTGCAGGCAAACGGAGAGTTTCTTATATTTCCACCTGATTGCGAGGCACAATGCATCGTATTTGCTTCCCGGTCCGTTTCTTTTTGTTCCGACGCGTACCACGCGTGTATGCAGGCGGGGGACTCGAAGCCGCCCAACTGCAGCGACTCCGTGTCGATCAACTGCGTCAAATGCATTCCGGGACGCGGCGACCAGCTCGTCACCGCTGCGGGGTACGTGCGTGGTAGAAAGGGAGTGAAGTAACAAAATGGGCCTAAGCCTAATGCGAACAAAGTAGAAGGCATGGTCGCGGAACCACTCCTGGTTGCCTTCTAATTGGACGAGATGAATGACATTCGAACCAAACACAGGACATCTGAGGTTCGAACAATGTTCGGCCCGAAACACCCATGCCATACGCCACCATCATCATCGGCATTGCTGTCATCTGTATTCTGAAAAGTCTCAAATACCAGCATTCCCTCTCCCCTTTCCCCACCCTCTCCTCTCTCCCTCCTCCCTCTGGCAGGTACCAGGACCTGATTCTGCCCATGGTGCACGCGGGTCCCCTGGCAGTGAACCCCGTGTCATACGCCACCATCATCATCGGCATCGCTGTCATCTGCCAAGTCTTCGCGCTCATCTCCTTTGGCCCCTTCACGGACTATGGCACTGGCCGCATGGACGTGAGTAACGGCATTCAGAGAGTGTGGGATGTTCTCTTGATGCTCTCGTTCCATTCCGCCCTTGCACGGACTATGGCACTGGCCCTTCCATCCATCCTCACCATTGGCATGGCTGCGAGTCATCCTTCTTGCCTCTTCTTCTCGTCCTTGTTATCCACCCACTCCGCACGTTTCCCCCACTCCCCTTCCTCCTACTGGTGGTTTGCTGGCCTGCTCGTCATCACTCGCACCTTTTCTTAACACTTCCCCTTTGTTATCCACCCTCTCCAACCCCTCTCCACCCCTCGCCACCCCCCTCTCCCTCTCCCACTCTCCAGCTGCTCAAGGTGGGAACGCTGATCGGCGTGGTGCCATCCATTGTGATCGGTGTGTTGGGCGACAGCTCCTACTGGTGGTTCGCTGGCCTGCTCGTCATCATCGCCAACGTTGGCTATGGCCTCTGCACCGTCAGCTACAACAGGTGAGACAGGAACAAGCCTATAACGCGTGTGAATGTTTATGGTTTTTGTGAGGTATAAGCTGGCCGGCTCGTCATCGTTGTCAACGTGGGCTACGTCCACTCCACTGCACCATCAGCTGCAAAATGTGAGAAATCAAAGCCTATAACGTGCATGAAAGTGCTGTGGGCCTGTCGATCACGCTTCTCCCATGCGTGCATGCAAGTAGCACGGCAGCAAGAGTTGAGGGACTAAGTTTTCTCGATTCCATTCCTTCGGCCCTCAACTCTTTGCTGGCATGATCCTAGTCGCCCTTGTCTTAACCTCCCTTGTCTCTTATCTCGGCTCGGCCCGTCCATACCCCCAACCCCAATCACTCTCCGTGGTATCTTTGAGTCGTCCCCTAACTCCCTGCCAAGGGTTACCCGCTTCTTCCTCACCTTCCCTTTCCTGCCATTGCCCCGTCCCTTTTCCATCCTGCGATGCCCCGATTGTGCCCTGCTGGCAGCTATCTGCCTGTGCTGGTGGATGCCACGCCAGCAGTGATGCATGCTGAGGTGTCAGGCGACAAGGAGAAGATTGCGTCTATCCGGGAACAGGTGGGTGGGTTATATGTGCGAGGTCTAAGGGGCGTGGGGGTGAGAGTCTTTAAGGAGCCTCGATTATAGACAACGAGAGGATTGCGTTTGCGTCCATCCGGGAACAGGTGGGTGATATGTGCGAGGTGTAAGGGGGAGGGTAACAGGCGAGGGGCTGAGGGTCTATGTTTCAGGCACCTCAAAAACAGTCGTGGCATCTGCCTTCCACTTTTGCTCATCGTTCATTCCCTCCCTCCTCTCCCCACCTACCATCTCCGCCATCCCCTCCCCCCCTCAGGTTGAAAACCGCATCTCCCTCATCGGTCTTGCAGCGGGCTGCCTGGCAGACGTGGTGGCGACCCTAGCCGCCTTTGTCATCACGCTCGCAGCCACCACCGACCTGCTCAAGATGCGCCTCGCAGGGGCCTTCTGCGGCCTCTGGTGGCTCGTCTTCTCCATCTTCACCTTCCTCTGGCTCCGCACCCGCCCGGGCCCGCCGCCGCCCGCCTCCGCCACCGCGGGCGGCGCGGGCGGCAACGCCGCCCTGACCATCGTCGCTAGCTGGCGGCACATGGGCGCGCTGGTCTCCGAGGCGAGGCGGTACCGGAACGCGTTTGTCTTCATGCTGTGCTATTTCATCTATGCGGATGGGTTCTCCACTGTGATTCAAGTCGGGGTGCTGTTCGGTCAGCACGACCTGTGTGTGGAACCCGCAATGCTAGCCGTCATTGCTACCTCGGTCTCCTTCTGGGCTGCGCTTGGGATGCCGTTGGCTTACTACCTTCAGAAGCGGCTCGGGTGGAACAACAAGACGATGGTCGTCGCGCTGCTGACCGCCATGCTGCCGCTGCCGCTATGGGGTTTGCTAGGGTATTTTACCCCGGACGGCGGGCTCGGGCTGAAGGCGTCGTGGGAGCTGTTTGCGTACTCGGGGTGGTTTGGGTTCTGCCTGGGCCCGCTGATCTCGTACTCGCGCACGCTGTTTGTGGACCTCATTCCCAAGGGCCGCGAGGGTGCCTTCTTCTCGCTCTACGCCATCAGCGACAAGGGCAGCTCGTGGCTGGGGCCCTTTGTTGTGGCGGCTATTGCTCAGGTAAGGAGCTTGGCAACTTTTGTCAACCCGTTAGTGACCTCTTCACTTGTTCCTCTTTCCCATCGCCCCCTTATCCTCCCTTATCCACTCTTTTCCCCACCTCCCCAACCTCACCCACCCCCAACCCCCGACCCCTCATGCCGCTTTCACCTCGTTTGCTTTGTGATCATCTCAGCTTGTGTGCGCTGTGCTCGATTAGTGTTGCGCTTCATCACATGGATAACTGTTTCTCCCCCTCGTTCGTGCCGTGATGCAGTTCACGGGGAAGATCCGGCCCGCCTTCCTGTACATCTTCGTTGTGATGCTCGTGCCAATCTTCTTCCTCAACACGTACCTGGATTACTCGCAAGGACTCAAGGAGTCAGGCCGGCACGACGGGCATGGGCAGCAGCCTAGTGCGGTCGATGCAGCTGAGCTTGGGGAGGAGGAGCGTGTTCCTCTCACCCAGTTTTAGCTGCTTATTCGAGAGTTGGTGTACGACTACAATTCCATACACAGAGGTAGTGTCAGATTTAAAGGGTGCTAGAGGTTGTAGTTTGCGGGGTAAAAGCGTCACCTTCCGCCTCCCTCTTAGATGCAGGCACTAGGCAAGCAGGAGAATGGCCGTGTAGATGACACGACAGTCACATTTTGAATGGCTTGGACATTTCTTGAGCTGTTATACTGAATCTGACATGTTCAGGGATTAAAGTGTACATTCTAGAATATAGGTAAATGGATGTTTGACGAGATATGCTGCCGAACCTGGCAATATTGAACAACACAGAAGAACATGCGGGCGCGTGCGGAGGAAGATATGGAGAGGTTTGGCAAAGCCACGAAGCTCGAAGACATGACGTAGGAATGTTTCAGGTATGGCAAGTTGTTGGCTCGAGCATGCTGGCCCGAGCCTGGGATGAGGTGCAGAGAGGAGAGCTGAGCTTCGGTTGCCCGATGATTCTGGTCTGATTGCGCCTTTTCAGAGCTGCAGCCCATCGCTAGGCTCGGGGAAGTTTGACGGAAGGGGCCGTCCGTGTGCCAAGCCAAGCCTGGTCTGTCTTTGCGCGAATGCGTGAGGTTCGACAGAGGGATGTAGGAGGAGGTCAGGGAAGGGAAGCACGAGGGTGATGACTGATGAGGGTGGGTGGAGGGCACAGGGCGGAACGAGTGAGGCAGGCAACTCGGCCGTCCTTTTTGGCTGACATGCGCAGGCCAAGCGGTCATGGGGGTGGTTTGGAGTTGGAGAGGTGCTGCTGATTACACAGAGAAGCACTCAAAGTGCGTCGTACCGCTCTGCAAAATTTTAAATTGCTCCAAACCACACTGAAACTCGCATCATTGCATTTATGCTTCGTTATCTGAGAGAGGAGGCCTGTGGGGTGTAGGTCAAGGAAGCAGAGTCACAAGTCAAGCTATTTTCTGGAGGAGAACAAACGAACCTTGCAGTGCAGCAGTGGAGCAACAGTTTTCTAGGGTGCATTTTCCTTCTCTCCCCAGCGTCGAGGGAGTTTCTGTTACAGGCGGCGCACGTGGGACCATGTGCTGACTGACTGACTTTGCCTGATCAGTCTAGCAGGGAATATAGCCCGTTGCTGCTAAGCTGACAATGTGACCAGAACAAAGCTTTGAGCACACTAACTGTCCAGCAATGATAGGTCGTCGCATGCCGTGTTGAATTGCGAGAGTTTTGGCCGCGATAAGTGCTCTTGAGGCGAGTCGCGTTTTCACGTAATCGGACTATGGCACACAACAGCTGGGAGGCCGACAAAATGTACGTTTTCCAGACCCTAGGTTCTACCGTAGGGTCACGAGCAAAGCAAAAAAAAAAAAAAAAATCCCCAGGCTCGTTTTCCCGGCCGTGTCATGAATATAGTACGTGCGCAACGTTGCGAACGCCGGCTTTCGAGGCGCTATAGATATCATAGAGCCACTCGCATTGGAGTTGATGTCGTCATGTCCGCAACATTGTAAAGGCGTTCGATGAAGCCTTATCCTGAAGCCAACAGTCTCCCCTCTCCTCTTCGTTACGATTTCCTGTCTTCTGAAAATAATGCCTTGTTGTCCTTTTTTTTTCCCACATTTTCTTCGCTTTCTTAATTTCTTATGAGCCGGCGTCAAACGCTTTCCCATTATCTTATTATTTCTAGGGCTTCGGCTGCAACGTGACCAACTGAGGTCTTCATTTTCCTGCGTCTTTCTTTCGCTAATTCTGGTTACCCGGTTATTGCTTCCAGGCTGGATGTGTACATTTACGACTACCTATGCAAGCGAGGCTTGCCGAAATCCGCGGAAACGTTTCTCGCCGAGGCGAAAGTCTCGTCAGACCCCGTCGGTACGGCCCCGCCTCTGTTCTCTCTTCATCGTTCCTGCATCCTGCATCGTTCATGGTCGTACCGATATCTTTTGCTGCATCCTGCATTGTTCTCTCCGCAAATTTGATAAACTCTTTGGTGGGTGTCTGCAGCCATAAATGCTCCTGGAGGGTTCCTTTTCGAGTGGTGGTCGGTGTTCTGGGACATATTTATCGCACGGACCAATGAGAAGCATTCCGAAGTCGCGGCTTCCTATATCGAGGTAGGTATCCCTAACTCCAGTCAAACTAACAGAGTTTCTTTTTGTTTTTCTGCAGAGTCCCCCTCTACTGTCATGACCCGTTTCTGCTGTCAACATGAGATTTTATTTCTCTCTTTCTTTCTCTCTTGCTTTCACATGTCCCTGCTTCCAGACTCAGCAGATCAAAGCAAGGGAGCTGCAGCGGCAGCAGAGGGCCCAGCAAAGGCAGCAGCTGAAGCAAGAGCTAGGCGGTCCCATCCAACCATCCCCACACCAGGCAACCCAGCAGGCCGTGACCCCGCAACAGCTGAACCAGCAGCCGCAGCAGCAGCAGGGAAGAGAGGATCCAATGCAGCAGGATGAGCAACAATTGCCCGTGCTTCCTGGAATGCAACAGCAGCAGCAGCAGCAGCAGCAGCAGCAAGCACAGAGCCTTCACCAGCAGCAGCAGCAGCAGTCGCAAATGCAGCCCCCCTCACAGCAGCCGCAACAGCAGCAGCAGCAAGCAGCGTCGCAGCCAACCCCCCCGCCACTGCCACCACAACCCGCAGCTTCTTCTCAGCAACAGCAGCAGCAGCAGCTGCAGCAGCTGCAACTACAGCAACTGCAAATGCAGCTACAGCAACGGCAGCTGCAGCAGCAGCGGCGGGAGGCGGGGCAGCTGGCAGGGCTGGGGGGGAACGGAGTGGCGAACGGCGTTGCGGGAGGTGTAGCAGGGGAGGCGGGGTTGAGGCAGGCAGCGAGTGGTGTGCTGGCGAGCCGGCTGTATGAGGAGCGGCTGAAGCAGGCGCAGCTGGCCAGGGCGGAGAGCGGGGCGAGCATGGATGAGGCTGCGGCTCTCAGGGTGAGTACCGCAGACAGTGACGTGAGTGTGTTGGTGATGTACAGGTTCTGGTGGGTTTTTAGTGGGCCAAAGTGAGTTTGGGCCGCGACCTGCCGGCTGTATGAGGAGCGGCCGAAGCAGGCGCAGCTGGCGAGGGCGGAGAGCAGGGCGAGCATGGACGAGGCTGCACTCAGGGTGAGCAGTATAAGCATACGCAGTGGTGTGTGTGAGTTCATAGTTTACAGAGTTGGAGCGTTTGGGGAGAGTGCATATTGCGTTCTGAATGGAAGCTGAAGCCAAACCAATGTTTCTGGTCTTCCCCCACCTTAGCTGAAATGGGCTGCTGTTCAATGCTCCCAGCGCTCTCATGCGCCCCTCACGTGCTCGTCTCACGTCTCTTCCTCACGTGCTCCCTATGTGTGCTGTGCTCTGCTCTCCTCCGTCTGTATGCCCCCTACGACTGACTGACGTGTGTGGGTCTGTCTGTGTGCCATGGTTGCGTGGCATACGTACACGACTCATGCTGGATTCGCCACTGACGATCTCATGCTGTTATGTACGGAACAATCTCCCATACTGAGCAGAGGTAAGCTCTCTCTTTCTCCCTTCCCTCTCTGTCGCCACCCACCCTCGTTCTTTCATACTTTTTCCAATCGCTCATCACACCACTGGCACTTCCTTGAACCTTCCGTACTTCCTCCCCCTTCACTTAACCATCCTTGCTTCCTCGGTCGCATGTTCTCTGCTTCCCCACTCCAGCTGATTTTTGAGACGACTCAAAAGTCTTCCTCCGTCACATGTTCTCTGCTTCCCCACTCCAGCTGATTTTTGAGTCGACTCAAAAGTCTTGCTCCGTCACATGTTCTCTGCTTCCCCACTCCAGCTAATCCCACTAAAGTCGCCTCTCTTTGTTTGTTACGTCCCGCCCTCTGCTGTTGCTTTTATAGGCACCTGGCGACCGTTGGCAACGCGGCAGGCATGTCCCAACAGTCCCTGCAGCAACAGCACTTGCAGCAGCAGCAGCAGCAGCAGCAGCAGCAGCAGAACCAACAGCAAAGTCAGCAGCAGCAGCAGCCAGCGCAGTCACAGTCCCAGTCCCAGGGGCTGCCGCAGCTGCCTCTGCAGCAGCTGCAGCAGCAGCTGCAACAACTGCAGCAGCAGCACCAGATGCAGGAGCACGTGCAGGAGCAGCAGCAGCAGCAACAGCAGCAACAACAGCAACAGCAACAGCAACAGCAACAGCAACAGCAACAGCAACAGCAACAGCAGTTGCAGCAGCAGCAACAGCAACAGCAGCAGCAACAACAGCAACAACAGCAGCAGCAACAGCAAATGATGCCACCAGCTGGAGCTGCATCCCCTAGCGTTAGCCAGGTGATCCCCCACTTCCCGTACCTCTCCCTCCTCCGTTAATCTTTCTTTCCTTTTGTTCGCGCTATCCCTTTTTCACCAGTCTCTTCCCCTTCCCCTGCTCCTACATCGCGTCTTCCCCACACCAAGGAGGAGTCGTAGGTGGTTGGTATGCTTGTCGTCCAGGTGACTTTTGAGTCGACTCAAAAGTCACCCTTCCCCTGCTCCTACATCGCGTCTGCCCCATACCAAGGAGGAGTTAGGTGGTTGGTATCCTTGTCGTCCAGGTGACTTGTGTGCGAGCAGGAGAGCAAGGTAGATGTGCATGTGGTCATGTCAGGGTGGGCAGTTCTTGTTGTTCTAATCCCATGTCCTTGACTTGTTTCTTTCTATCGTATAACTAACTTGTCCGCTGTCCCCTGTGCGAGCAGGAGAGCAAGGCAGATGTGCATGCAGTCATGTCGGGGCGGGCAGGATCGGCCATATCTGACAATGCACTCGCGTCCATGGCACAAGGTGTGTCCGACTTGATTGTCGGATTTGGTTCCGCACAAGTCAATGCCCATCAGTGATTTTTCCCCTTCTTTGCATCCCCATCTTTCTCTCGTTCGCAATACACACAGTCTTTCCTCTCTTCCTCTCTTTCCTCTCTCCCTCTCTCCATCGTACTTACCCGTCCCTGCATACCTCCTCCCCCTTCCCCCCTCACCTCCCTCCGCTGCCCCTCGCCCCACCCCTGAATTCGTACACGTCAGGCATATCATTGGCTTTCCCTTTCCGTCCCCTCCCCTCTCCCCCACCGACGTCCCCCCTTCCCCCTGCTTCCATACGCGCCAGGCATATCGTCAGCTGCTAGGTCGGCTCAGTTGCAGCAAATGAAGGGCAACTGGCCCATCGTGCATATCACCAGCTTTCCATTTCCCTCCCCTCCCTTCGTCCCCCCTCCCGGGCCAACCTTCCCCCTGGTTCTGTGCGCGCCAGGCATATCATCAGCTGCTAGGTCGGCTCAGTTGCAGCAGATGAAGGGAAACTGGCCCGCAGGTCTTTCGGTAAGCCCCCACCCACCCCAAACCAGATGCTCTCACCTTTACCATGCCTCAGATTGCACGTCTGTTCAATTCGCCCCAGTACCAGATTCTCTCGCCCTTACAGCAGCACCACCTGCTGCAGCAGGCGCAGGCTCAGGTTCAAACTCCTCTCACGAATCCTCTCTCTTTTGCCTAACCCCCTTCCCCTCCCCACCACCATGCCTCAAATCGCACAGCTGTTCAACTCGGCCCACTACTATATGCTCTCGCCCATACAGCAGCAGCACCTGCTGCAGCAGGGGGCACGGATGCAAAATCCTCTCACTAATCCTCTTACCTTGGCGTATACCCCCTTCCCCTCCCCACCACCATGCGTCAGATTGCACGTCTCTTCAACTCGCCCCAGTACCAGATGCTCTCGCCCATACAGCAGCAGCACCTGCTGCAGCAGGCACAGGCACAGGGCCTCATCACCAACGCAGGCGCGCTAGCAGGGCTAGCAGGCGCGGGGGGAGGCGCAGGGGGGGCAGCAGGGGGAGCAGCAGGGGCGGGCGCAGCAGCGGGAATGCAAGGGGGAGGGGGAGCGGGAGCTGGGGCGGTCAGTGGTGGGGCGGGTTTGGGCGGCAATCTGCCTGGGCGGGCGGCAGGAGGGACGTCCCTAGTGGGATTCGGGGCGGGTATGGCTACAGAAATGGAAAACCGGCAGCTGAGACAGTTACTGAGTAAGGGGGTAGCTGGGAGCCCTGCTGCTGCAGCTGCGATGGCAGCAGCGGCAGCAGCGGGAGCGGGGGGAAAAGCAGGAGGGGAGGAGGGGGGTGGGTCCCCCAGTGTGGGGTCGCCTGCTGGGTTGCTGCCGTCCGGTGCTGCTGCTGCTGTGGCGGCTGCTGCTGCTCTCAGTCGAGGGGCGTCGCCTCAAGAGCAGCAAGAGATGATTCTCAAGGTGAGCAGGGAGGGTGGGTGGGAAGGGAAGAGGGGAGGAGGGGAGGAGGGGAGGAGAAGGGTGGCCCGATGGGTCGCCCAGTGTGGGGTCGCCTGCTGGGATGCTGCCGTCCGGTGCTGCTGCTGCTGTGGCGGCTGCTGCTGCTCTCAGTTGAGGAGCGTCGCCTCAAGAGCAACAGGAGATGATTCTCAAGGTGAGTAGGGCGGGAGCAGTGGGTGGGTGGGTGGGTGCTGAGAGGTTTGAGACGTCTCATAGAGTTGTCGGCTCAGGAGGAGCATGAGATGATTCCGCGAGGAGTTTTCTTCTCCTTCCCATGCTGATTGTTGAAATCGATTTGACTTGTGCGTCCCCCATTTTGCCATGTTATTCTCCTCCTTAGCCGAGCCATGGGCGATCAGCAGTTGTTTTCTCCACGTGCTCAGCTCATTGACGCCCCTTTTTTACTTGCGTGTCGCCCTTTGAGACGTCTCAAAATGTGCTCAGCTCATTGACGCCCCTTTTTTACTTGCGTGTCGCCCTTTGAGACGTCTCAAAATGTGCTCAGCTCATTGACGCCCCTTTTTTACTTGCGTGTCGCCCTTTGAGACGTCTCAAAATGTGCTCAGCTCATTGACGCCCCTTTTTTACTTGCGTGTCGCCCTTTGAGACGTCTCAAAATGTGCTCAGCTCATTGACGCCCCTTTTTTACTTGCGTGTCGCCCTTTGAGACGTCTCAAAATGTGCTCAGCTCATTGACGCCCCTTTTTTACTTGCGTGTCGCCCTTTGAGACGTCTCAAAATGTGCTCAGCTCATTGACGCCCTTTTTTTACTTGTGTGTCGCCCTGCTTGCTGTGTTCTTGTTCTTTTCAGCTGCAAGCTCAACGAGCACGGGCCATGGGCGCGCAGGGGGCCATGGGGGGCCTGATGGGCGCACAGGTGAAGCAGGAGCAGCTGCTGCTGCTGCAGCAACACCAGCAGTTGCTACTGCAGCAGCAGCAGCAACAACAGCAGCAACAACAGCAGCAACAGCAGCAGCAGGTGATGGGGGCGCCTGGGCAGCACATGCAGCAGGAGGGGCATCAGGGGGGGATGGGACGGCAGGGCAGCATAGGCGGACCAGTGAGAGCAGCAGGGCAGCAGCAGCAGGGTCAGGCGCAGGGACAGGGACAGGGGCAGGGGGGACAGGGAGGGGCACAGGGGGGGATGCAGGGGCAGCAAGAGCAGCAGCAGCAGCAGCAGATGGGTGTGCCTGGTTCTGCTGGTGGCGGTGGTGGTGGTGGATGGGGGGGAGGTGGGGGTGGTAATGGCGGAAGTGGAGGGGGCGGAGGAGGGGCAGGGGAGCAGAGCTCTCTCAGTGGCATGGAGCCCGCACCCAGCATCACCAGCACAGGCACTGTCACCAAGGTAGTTAGTCACTTTGGGGTTTTCTCATAATTTCGGGCCGAATCTGCGTTGCAGAAGCATCGTGCTTTCTTTCTGTATTTGCCTTGTTGGTTTACCTTAGGTGGTACAATCTCACCTTTTACCTCCCCCCCCCCTCACTCCCCCCTTTATATTTTCAAGGACTGGACCCCTTCATCCCCCCCTTTTGTTGGTTTACCTATTGTGGTACTCTCTCACCTTTCAACCCCCTCCCCCCCTTTTTCCCCTTGAATGCGTCACTTCTCTGCTCTGTTGCATGTCATCCTGCTGACAATCTGCTATCTTCTGACAATCTTTCAATCACTCCCCTCCCCTCCCCTCTCCTCTCGCCTGCAACCCGTGTGGCAAGCAGAGGGGCCAAGGGGGGCGGCTGGGGCGAAAGAGGAAGCAGCCCGGATCATCAGGCCCTGCCACCAGCAACGGCACCCCTGCCACTGCTGCTGCCACTGCGGTTCTTCTAACACTCTCCCCTCTCTCCCTTCCCTTATTGTTTGCCTCCGTCTTCCAACCCGTGTGGCAAGCAGAGGGGCCAAGGGGGAAGGTTGGGGCGAAAGAGGAAGCAGCCGGGATCATCAGGCCCTGCCACCAGCAACGGCACCCCTGCCACTGCTGCAGCCGCTGCCACTGCCGCTGCTACTGCTGCTGCCACTGCTGCTGGTGGTGGTGCCGGGGCTTCTGGTGGTGGTGGTGGTACTGCTGGTGATGGGACTGCTGGTACCACTGCTGGCACTGCTGCTGGTGGCGCTGCTGGCACTGCTGGTGCTGCTGGTGCGGATGGGGGGGCTGCAGGAGGGGCTGTGAAGCCTGAGCCTCGCCCGCAGACACAGGCAGAGCAGCAGCAGCAGCAGCAAGCCACGGCCGAGCAGCAGAAGCAGCAGGAGGAGCAACACCAACACCAGCAGCAGCATCAACACCAGCAGCAGAGCCCCCAGCTAGGATCCTCCCTCCCCCAGATGCTACCTCCCCCGCTCGTCCCGCCTCTCCCGACCAGCTTTGGCATGGAAGGGACGCTCTCAGGCGAGCCGTCCCCGGGGAACCAGCTGGTGGAGCTGGAGCGGTTTGGGGTGGGGGTGGGGGACGACGGGTCGCTGGATGACAATGTGGACTCGTTCCTCTCCACTGACGATGGCGATGGCCGCGAGCCGCTCTTCTGCACCGGCAAGCGCAGCAGCATGGGCAGCATGGACGGGAAAGGTGGGTGCGTGTGGGAGGGGGGAGGGGGGGATGGGAGGCGAACTGGTGGGTGATGAGGGAGTGTGGAGGGACAGGAGGGTGAGAGGGACTGGTGAGGTGGGAGCCTGGGAGGAGAAAATTGTGGAAAGGTATGCTGTCCCCTGGTCAATTCGGCTTCCTGAAACCCCGTTGTCACAACCCCTTTCGCAGGGTTCTCCTTCATGGAGTACGGGTGCCTGAGGGCCAGCTCCACCAAGGTGGTGTGCTGCCTGTCCCTTGGTTAACTCCGCTTGCTGTAAACCCGCTTCTCCCTCTACTCCTCTCTCCAACCCCCCCACAGGGTTCAAACCCGCTTCTCCCTCTACTCCTCTCTCCAACCCCCCCACAGGGTTCTAACCCGCTTCTCCCTCTACTCCTCTCTCCAACCCCCCCACAGGTTTCTAACCCGCTTCTCCCTCTACTCCTCTCTCCAACCCCCCCACAGGGTTCTAACCCGCTTCTCCCTCTACTCCTCTCTCCAACCCCCCCACAGGGTTCTAACCCGCTTCTCCCTCTACTCCTCTCTCCAACCCCCCCACAGGGTTCTCCTTCACGGAGAACGGGTGCCTGAGGGCCAGCTCCACCAAGGTGGTGTGCTGCTGCCTTGAAGGAGAACAGGAGCCTGCGCCTTGGCCAGCTCTGCTCACTGTAACCCCCCTCCCTCCCTCAACTGCTCCCCAACTCCCCCGTGCAGGTTTCTCCTTCACGGAGTATGGGTGCCTAAGGGCCAGCTCCACCAAGGTGGTGTGCTGCCACTTCTCCCAGGACGGGAAGCTGCTTGCGAGTGCGGGCCACGACAAGACGGTGAGTATCAAGACCAGAAATGCCGGCTGTGGTGATACGCTGTGTGCTGCCACTTCTCCCAGGACGGGAAGCTGCTCGCCAGTGCGGGCCATGACAAAACGGTGAGTGCACCAGGTTATGACAATGGGTGCCAACCGTGGCGATACAGTGAGTGTGTGGTGTGCTGCCACTTCTCCCAGGACAGCAAGCTGCTTGCGAGCGCCGGCCACGACAAGACGGTGAGTGCACAGTGCATTGCAGATGAGGACAACCGATGCCGGCCGTGACGATACAGTGTGTGGTGTGCTGCCATCTCTCTGAAGGGCGGCAACGAGACGGTGAGTGCAGAGTGCAGGTGAGGACAGTGGAAGTCAGTGTCATGTCAATCAGAACCACCAGATTTTCTTACTGAAAGATAACAACTCACACACGCACATCCCCACACCACCCACTCCACCCCTCCCTACCCCGCCGCTCTCCTACTACTCTCTACCTCACCCCTTCCATTCCCCTCTCCATGCGCGCCACTCTGGAGGGCCACTTGCCGCCACTCAATGCCGCACCACCTTTCCCCTCCTTCCCTCCTCTCCTCCTCTTCCTCCTTTCTCCCCTCAACAGGCTGTGCTGTGGGAGATGGATTCCCTCTCCATGCGCGCCACGCTGGAGGGCCACTCGCTGCTCATCACCGACGTGCGGTTCAGCCCCAGCCTGCCACGTGTCGCCACGTCATCGTTTGACAAGACCGTGCGCGTGTGGGACATTGACAATGTAGGTCGCCATAGTAGAGACCAGGCACTCTCTGGTCGGTTCAGAAAGGTAGGGAGTGGGCGTAGAGGCTGGCACAGAGGCATGGGCGCCTAGGCAGGGGATGTATTTACGTTCATACTTGTGTTGCTCATTCTGGATTCCCGAATTCTAATTCACGTTTCTCCCTCTTCTCCCGTCTCCCCCCCTTACCCCCAACCCCCCTTCCGCCATTGCTGCAGCCGGCCTTCCCTCTGCGCACGCCATGACATCTGTGGTGTCGTTGGACTTCCACCCCAAGGATGAGGACCTTCTCTGCTCCTGCGACGCTCATCCCTCATTCCTCTTCCCACCCCTTCCTCTTCCCTCCCTCAACACTGCAGCCGGCCTTCCCTCTGCGCACGCTAGCGGGGCACATGACATCTGTGGTGTCGTTGGACTTCCACCCCGAGGACGAGGACCTGCTCTGCTCCTGCGACGCTGACGGGGAGATTCGCTACTGGAGTGTCAATCAGGAGATGTGCACCCGGGTGTTCAAGGTGAGGCGCTTTTCCAAGTAGAGGGTTCATTTAAGGTCAGGCGATTTTCGAGGTAGAGGGTTCATTCAAGGTGAGGTGCGGTTTTGGATCAACTGCTCTTGTGTTGACTCCGACGAATCGCTATTGGATTCTCGAGTCAGACTCAAAAATCGTCTCTTGAGACTGTGTCTCCTGTTTCTTCACCAGACCAGGGCTACACCACACAGGTGCGCTTTCAGCTGCGATGTGACTTTTGAGTCGACTCAAAAGTCACCTCCGGGCTACACCACACAGGTGCGCTTTCAGCCGCGCATGGGGCGGCTGCTGGCAGCAGCGGCGGCTCATTGCATGTTCACATGCCTGTCCTGTCCACCCCTCCCCTCTTCCTCTCCCCACTCCCCCTACCCCCTATCTCCACCTCCTCATCCACCTCCCCTCTCCCCCCCCCTTCCTCTTCCCCCCCACCACCAGGGTGCCACCACGCAGGTGCGCTTTCAGCCGCGCATGGGGCGACTGCGGGCAGTAGTGGAGGCTCATTGCATGTTCACATGCCTGTCCGCCTCTCCCCCTTTCCCCTCCCCTCCCCTCCCCACCCCACACCACCAGGGTGCCACCACGCAGGTGCGCTTTCAGCCGCGCATGGGGCGGCTACTGGCAGCAGCGGCTGAGTCGGTAGTCTCGATATTCGACGTCGAGACAGAGGCCTGCCTGCGCACGCTCGAGGTAAGAAGCAAACCCTCCCCCCCCCCTCCTCCTTCCCCCACACACACAAGGATTGTTCTGTTGCCCTTTTCCTTTCTTTTCAGTTGGAGATGCTTGCTCCCCCTTGCCCTCCATATCTCCTCCCTCCCCAACCTCCCTTCCGCCCCTCCTTCCACCTCTTTTCCCTCCTCCCCAACCCCTGTTTCTTGAGAATTCTAAAAAAACACGCGCTTTTCCCTCTTCCCCAACCCCCCTCGCACCACCAGCAACGGCACAGCAAGCCAGTGCACTCGGTCTGCTGGGACGCCATAGGCGAGTTCATAGCCTCCGTCTCAGAGAATGTGGTGCGAGTGTACGCGTTGGGCTCGGGCAACTGGGGCGAGTGCGTGCACGAGCCGGTCAGGTCACATTGCCTTTCTCTTGCCCATTTTCCCCTCCATTTGCCCCATGTCTCACCCACCACCAGCAACGGCACAGCAAGCCAGTCCATTCAGTCTGCTGGGACGCCACAGGCGAATTCATAGCCTTGGTGTCAGAGGATGCAGTGCGAGTGTATGCGTTGGGCCCAGGCAACGGGGGCGAGTGTGTGCACGGGCTTTTCAACTCACACCGCTCTTCTCTTTCCTTGCATGCTCTCTCCCCTATCCCCCCATGTCTCCCACACCACCAGCAACGGCACAGCAAGCCAGTCCATTCAGTCTGCTGGGACGCTACGGGAGAGTTCATCGCTTCTGTCTCAGAGGATGCAGTGCGAGTGTATGCGCTGGGCCCGGGCAACGGGGGCGAGTGTGTGCACGAGCTGGTCAGCAGCGGCAACAAGTTCCACTCGTGCACCTTCCACCCCAAGTACCCCTCACTGCTCGTCATCGGCTGCTACCAAGTAAGTTTTTTTTGGGGGGGAAGGGGAACTGAGGTTGGGCTGTGTATGGTGTGTGTGTGTGTGTGCGCGCGCGCTGTGCGCGCGTGTGTGTGAGTATGTGCATGTGCGAGTGTGGATGTGCATGTGCGAGTGTGGATGTGCGTGTGCGAGTGTGGATGTGCGTGTGCGAGTGTGGATGTGCGTGTGCGAGTGTGGATGTGCGTGTGCATGTGGGTGTGTGCACGAGCTGGTCAGAAGCGGCAACAAATTCCACTCCTGCACCTTCCACACCAAGTACGGTACCCCTCGCTGCTCGTCATCGACTGCTACCAGGTCAGTTGACCGGGGGGGAGTGGGGAGTGAGGGGCTTGTGTCGGTGGGGTGTTTGTGCATGCGTGTGTGCATGTGTGTGTATTTCTCTGGGTGTGTGCATGTGTGTGTATTTCTCTGGGTGTGTGCATGTGTGTGTATTTCTCTGGGTGTGTGCATGTGTGTGTATTTCTCTGGGTGTGTGCATGTGTGTGTATTTCTCTGGGTGTGTGCATGTGAGGTATGTGTGTTTTGTGGGGAGAGAAAGGGGTATGTGGGGCCTGTGTGTGGCTGGCAGCACACGGGTCTTTTTCCACTGGGTATTTCTGCACCTTCCACACCAAGTACAATACCCCTCGCTGCTCGTCATCGGCTGCTACCAGGTCAGTTGGGGGGGAAAGGGTAGAAGAGGGGGGGGGGGGGGGGGGGGGGGGTGGGGCGTCGTGTGGGGGTGTGTGCGTGTTTGGGGGTTTGAGAATAGTGCTGGGCTGGTCTTGGTTTAGAGCATGATAGTGCAAGTAAGGCCCAGCGAATGCAGGCCCAACCACAGAACCCCCACCTCACCTCCTCCATCAACCCTCCCGGTCCTCCCCCCTCCCTCCCTCCCACCTTCTCCCTCACTCCCCCCTCCTCCTCCTTCTCCCCCCTTCCCCCCCTTTCCCTCCCCCCCTTATTTCTCCCCGCTCCCCTACCTGTTCGCCGTCGGAATTATGAAACTTGGTGGGGAACAAAGGCATGATCATGAAAGGGAGGCCTGGCTGATTCATGCATTTCCCCTAGCAACTCTGCCTAACCGTTCCTTTCAAACACCCCTTTCCTCCCCTTCTTCCCCATTTTCAGTCGTTGGAGCTATGGAATATGGTGGAGAACAAGAGCATGATTGTGCAAGGGGCACATGACGGGCTTATCGCTGCACTTGCGCATTCGCAGGCGCGTGGGCTCGTTGCGTCTGCGAGCCATGACAAATGTGTGAAATTGTGGCAATAGCACTGGCGAGTGCATTCTAGCTTAGGCATCTCATGCCATATATCATGGCGTGAGCAGCAGAAAGCGTTTTGTTTTTGCCTGAACTAACATGGAAATGTTTAGGAAATGGTTGATCTTACTAATCTAAATCTTAGCAATGTCGTACTTCAGTGGCCAGTTTATTAGTACACTCTTTGCTGTTGTTCGGGGTGCAAATGCATATATTCTGGCCTGGAGAATGCCCCCTTCGAATCGTCGGCTGCTTTGACCACCCCAATTTTGAAGTTCGAGTTTTGGCGGGAAAGTCTGACCTCGAGATCATACAGCCTGCCTGTCCCCACCCCAACCACACCATCCATCATCGTCATCACCACTCGGACATACCGTATTTTTCCATCATCGTTTCGTCAGTCTGGAGCTGCATTATCTAGATTCTAGACCATTACTCACGGCCCTGCGACGACGAATTTCTCGCGCGCTTCGCTGGAAACGTCTAACTTCGACGGTTTCCTCTTCTCGGTTTCTCGTTCCGGTTTCTTCTCCTGCCATGGATCCGCCTCCCGGTCAGCCGACCGATGCGAGCTCTGAGTTCAAGCAACCTGCTCCTAAGAAGGCGACAGGAATTCAAGGTAAAATGCGAACGCCCTCATGTAGGCAATATACCGATGAGACAAGTCTTTCTTTTTCGCGATATTGAAAGGCAAGAGCGTCGTGACAAATTCCCTCCTTTTACCTGCATTGACCCTTGACTTGAGTCAAAAATGACTTCGTGTTTCGCTTCACATGAACTGGACACAGACATTCGTGAATCTAAGATTTTACACTCGAGTCTCAGTATGACGCACACTCATGACTTTTCCCTTCTCTTCATTTTCTCCCGCATTTTTCCGTTCTCGTTACAGTCCAATCTCGTTTCATGCAAACACCCGCTCAGTCCTCAGCCTCCCCTCGCGAAGGCTCCATGATTCCCACTCCCGGTACGCGCCTCTCATCAATGCACGCGCCATCAACCGCCGCGAAAAGCGCCGTCAGAGGCGGCGCCAGCAGCGTTACAGGCCGAGTTTCCGCAACTCCCCGCGCGAGCCTCACCCCCGCGCAAGCCTCCACGGGATCCCGCGCGGGTGCCAGCAGAGGCGGCGGATCTACCACGGGGCTCGCGAGCAGAACCAGCGCTGGCGGAAGAGGCGCATCCGGGGCTGGCGGAGCAGGCGGAGCGGGCGGAGCAGGTGTCCGCGCGGCCCCCAGTGCGGCGAAAGGCGTTTCGCAGGCAGCGGGGAGGGGGAGATTTGAAGGGCCTCAATATCAAACTCCCATGGGGAGAGGGCGAGGGGGGAATGCAGCGGCGCAGTACCAGACTCCTCATGGTAGAGGTGGAGGAGGGATCAAGGGACGCCTTTTCCAGACTCCAATGGCTGGAAGGGGGGAAGGGGGAATGGGTACTGGCGGGAGGGAGGGGAGAGTGGCGATGGTGGTGGGGGGACGAGGAGACGGAGGAGGGGAGAGAGCAGGTGGTAGGGGAGGTGGTGGGGGAGGTGGTTTGGGAGGTGGTAGGGGAGTTAACCCTGAGAACCGAAACGTGACTCTTGTGCCGACAGGCGAGGCTCTGGAAGGTGGTGAGGTGGCAGAAGGGACGGCCGCCGTGTCAGCAGCGCGGGATGCTGATGTGGCAGGAACAGCAGGTGGAGAGGATGTGTCGGTAGGAGAGAGGGAAGGGGACGCGCAAGGGGCGGAAGGGGCTACTACCAGCTATGACAGGGGCGAGGAGGAAGGGGCAACTATCACTGACCAGGGGGAGGAGGGCGGGGCAATCAGCGGTGACAGGGGCGAGGAGGAAGAAGAGACCAGCGCTGCCCTGGGGGATCCGGACGAGGCTACTGTAGCTGGTGGGATGTTGGCGCTGCAACTGGCTCATGTGGCTGGCGAGCACAAGGAGAGGGAGCAGGCGGAGGGGGAGCAGGCGGAGGGGGAGCAGGCGGAAGGAGAACAAGCGGAAGGAGAGCACGCGGAAGAGCTGGCGGAAGGAGAGCATGCAGAAGGGGGGCAGGCGGAGGGGGAGCAGGCGGAGGGGGAGCAGGCGGAGGGGGAGCAGACGGAGAGGGAGCAGACGGAGGGGAAGCAGACGGAAGGGGAGCGGGCGGAGGGGGACCAGGAGGAAAGTGCGAGATGCTCTGTGAGTAGTGACGGCAGTGGTTTTGCTGCGTTGCTAGAAGCAGCGGGAGCAGTTGGAGCAGCTGGTGGCGGTGGTGGTTTTGCTGCTGGTGTTGCTGGTGCTGCTCCCGATATGCAAGATGCTACTCAGCGAGGGGATGTTGGTGCTACTGCTAGCACTTCACGTGTTTCAGCAAGTTTGGATGGTGCGGAATTAGATTGGAGTAACAGCGCTGGCAGTGGCAGGAGCATCAGCAGTGGCAGCAGCAGCAGGCAGGGCAACAATAGCAGCAATGGCAACAGCAGCAGGATTGCGCATAGAGAGAATGAGTCAAGCCAGCCTGCATTAGCACCAGAGACAGCTGGGCTCGATCTTAGTAGGACAGAAGGCTCGGCACGGAGCCACACAGGCTCGGCACACTGCAATGCAGTCTTGGCACTTAGCAACACAGGCTCGGTGTACAGCGACGTAGGCTCGGTGCACAGCAACGCAGGCTCGGTGCACAGCCATGGGGATCTGGATCTGGTAGCCTCGGGCTCTGTGGGTTCGGAAAGTAGTGAAAGGGGTGAGAGGGGCGAGAGGGGCGAACAGGAGGGGATGGTACCGGCAGTGGCAGCAGTACTGGAGGAGCTATCTGGCCTCCCTTGGTCGACTCAAGCAGCGATTGTGAGGAACAGGGAGTTGCAGGTGCAGGCGATGCTGGTGCTGCAAGAAGAGGCTGCTGAGGAGAGGAACCGAGAGAACATGGTGAGTGCGTGGGAGGGATGGAGGAATGTTGTGAGGCTACTCAAAACGGAACAGGGAGTTGCAGGTGCAGGCGATGCTGGTGCTGCAAGAAGAAGCAGCGGAGGAGAGGAACGGGCAGAACATGGTGAGTGTGGGGAGAGGAGGGAGGAGATGCACAGGCAGAGCATGATGATTGGGGGGTAGGAAGTCTTCTGTGCCGGTTCATAACGGTTCATAACAGAAGAGTCGGGAGGTGCAGGTGATGCTGATTCCGCAGAATAAGGAGGAGGAGAGAAACAGGAAAAGCACAGTGAGTGCAGGGGAGGTAGGGGGGGAAGATTAGTAATTGACGGGCAGAGTAAGGTAGGAAGAAAGTAAAATGAAACCCCCCTTCTCCTCCCCCCTTCCACCCTCCCCTCTCCCCCCTCCCCTCTCCCCGCACCCCCATCTGGTCCTGGCAGCAGCAGCAAGCTACTGTTCACGCCTGCAGCGGCAGTGGTGCGAGCAGCAGGGGCAGCAGCAGCGGAGGCAGATCCACCATCGAGCGCAGCGGCTGCTAAATGAGGAAGGCGTGGGGCCGCTGCTACAGCAGCAGCAGCAGCAGCAGCAGCATCGTCTTACCAGAACGCATTCTCCCCACTCCCTCCTCCCCTCTCCCTTCTCCCCACTCCCTCTTCCCCTCTCCCTTCTCCCCACTCCCTCCTCCCCTCTCCCTTCTCCCCACTCCCTCCTCCCCTCTCCCTTCTCCCCACTCCCTCCTCCCCTCTCCCTTCTCCCCACCCCCTCCTCCCCTCTCCCTTCTCCCCACTCCCTCCTCCCCTCTCCCTTCTCTCTCCCACCTCTCCCTCTTCCCCAATCCCCTTGCCTCTCCCCTCTTCCCCCCACCCCTCCCCACCCCTCCAGGCGGCCCTAGCAGCAGCAGCAAGCTACTGCTCACACCTCCAGAGGCGGCTGTCTGAGCAGCAGGGGCAGCAGCAGCGGAGGCAGATGCACCAGCGGGCACGGCAGCTGCTGAGTGAGGAGGGCGTGGGGCCGCTGCTGCAGCAGCAGCATCATCTTACCAGAACTCATTTCTCCCGCTCTGTCCCCCCCTCTCCCTTCTCCCCCCCCCTTCTCCCTCTTCCCCATTCCCCTCGCCTCTCCCCTCTTCCCCCCACCCCTCCCCACCCCTCCTGCCCCTCCAGGCGGCCCTAGCAGCAGCAGCAAGCTACTGTTCTCACCTCCAGAGGCGGCTGTCTGAGCAGCAGGGGCAGCAGCAGCGGAGGCAGATGCACCAGCGGGCGCAACAATTGCTCAGTGAGGAGGGCGTGCGGTCGCTGCTGCAGCAGGAGGAGCAGCAGCGCAGGGACCACCGGCTGGCTCTAAGGAGCATCATTCAGGCGCTGTCGGATTCGCTGGTGAAACTGCCCATCCACCCCTCCAGCACGGTGAGTCAGTGTCAGTGGTGGATGGTAGCTTGTGAGACCACGGTTCTTTGCTGCAGCAGCAGCAGCGCGAGCACCACCGGCTGGCGCTAAGGAGCATCATTCAGGCGCTGTCTGACTCGCTTGTGAAACTGCCCATCCACCCCTCCAGCATGGTGAGTTGCGTGCATGTCCCACATCATGTATCACACATTCCTAATCACACAACACACAACGCACATCACACATCTCACATCCCAGATAAACGCATCGCACATCACAGGTGAATGCGGCGCGGCTCAAGGAGCAGTTAGACGGCCTGCACGAACTGCTCACAGCCATGCAGCCCTGTAATTGCAGGCCCCATACCCCATGTTCGATGTGTCATACCCCATGTCCTGTATGCCGTGTTGCACCGCACATCACAGGTGAATGCAGCGCGGCTCAAGGAGCAGTTAGACGGCCTGCACGAACTGCTCACAGCCATGCAGCCCTGTGCTGACGACCTCTACCAGGTACCGTGCCGTACATCCCATCAATAGTTGACTCTTGAATCGACTCAAAAGTCACCTTGCTGACGAACTCTACCAGGTACCACGCCGTACATCCGATTAATCGTTCTCCACTGGTTTCTTATGAGTCGTTTCCCATGCGGCGTGCGCCATTTTTCAGAGGTCATTTCCCCCGGTACCCTGCCTGGGATACCCTGCCTGGAGTATTTTTGCCTCTAACATCCATGGCCGATTATCGCACTTGCCACGTGTTGCTGCACGCCCAGTGCTGCTCCTTGCCCTCTATCCCCTCCCTCGCCTGCTTCCCCGCTCGCTCCTCCCCCGTCCACGCCATTAGGTGCCTGGGGTGGCGTGCCTTGTCTCATCCATAGCCGATCATCTCACCGCTACCAAGGCGGCTCTCGATGCTGCATGTGGCAACAGTGACCGCCTTGCTGATGCTGCTGTGAGTGTCTATCAACTGGGGTGGGCTGCTGGTATAGTGCCTTGTCTCATCCATAGCCGATCATCTCACCACTACCAAGGCAGTTCTCGATGCTGCATGTGCCAGCAGCAACCGTCTTGCTGATGCCGCTGTGAGTGTCTATCAAGGGGTGGCGTGCTGGTATAGTGCCTCGTATCATCCATAGCTGACCGTCTCACATCAACCAAGGTGGTTCCCGATGCTGCATGTGCCAACAGTGACCTCCTTGCTGATGCATCTGTGAGTTGTTATCAGGGTTGTGCTCGAGCCAATCACAGTCAGCTTTAGCAGCAGCAAATCGCATGCACCTTACATGTTCTGCTTCGTGTCGAATTTGCCGCGTGAGCTTGTTTCTTCTCCCTTGTCTTCACCCTCTGCAGTTGAAGGAGCAGACCAAGGGTTTCCAGCTGCAGCAGCTCGCAGACCTCTCGCGACCGGAGCTGTGATTCCTAAGCTGCCGAACATGGAGATGTTCAATTGTACATACTCCACCACATTTTGCTGCTATATTTCACCACCAAAATTGAGGTAACTACTGAATATACCAAACCAAGGGTTCAGATTGGAGCACAGGATGCATTGAGTGTTGTGTTATTATATAAAAATACCATTTATGCTAGCAGTTTCTGTACGCATAATCCCAGGTTACAATCGGGGATGGAAGTGGAATTGGGCTGGAACAAAACAGGCATTTTCTGGTCGAGTATCCCCTAGTTTGCACGATTCGCCCCTCCAGGATGTTGGTTTGGGCCGGCGAACGTGATTCGTTGGAATATTCGACAAGCGAACGAAGTTGGTGGGACAAGCGAACATCGTCGATTTCAGCCCGCCGATTCTCTGAAAATGTTGGATGCGTCTTGCCCAAGTTCGTTGGGCAAGGGGGATCCTGCCAGGTGGACATTTATGCTGGGTCGTGGGGGATGTTTGCTCATTCTTAACCGTCGATGAAATTTCATTAGTTGTCATTACGCAGTGACAGGAGCCGCCACGTCAGCTATGGTGAGCACTTGCCATCCATGCGAAACTCGATTCCGTTCGATACAAGAAAACTGAAGTTTATTCTTAGCGCCTATCTCGATCCCTTGTCCTGAAATTATTCTTACTTTTCGTATCCCCTGAAATTTGTCGACTATCACTCTCGTCCACTCACAGTTTGCAATTGGTGATACTATCGGCGGAATTGTTTCAACAGTCTGGTACACCAACCAGCAAGTTTTCCCGTCACCGAACAGACAGCAGGCAGGTAGTATAAGAAGGACGACCAAGGTTTGAGAAGGATTACTTCCCCCAGGGTCTCGCACATTTCTTTTTCCCTCTTGCCTTTCATGCACCCAAGTAGAGCCTGTGTTGTGGAGCTGTTGATGGAGGAAAGGTCCGGCTCGCCTGCTAGGTTTCGGATAGGATACGCTCTGGTGCAGAAGAAAATCAACAGCTTTTTGCAGGAGAAGCTTCAGAGGGAGTCTATTAGGAAAGGTATCGAGCTGGTAAAAATAGATCTGTCGAAACCGCTAGCAGAGCAAGGACCTTTTGACGCCATTCTTCACAAGATTCCATCGCAACAGTGGTATGAGGAGTTGGAGGAGTATCAACTGAGCAGACCAGATGTGCTTGTCATTGACCCACCAGAAGCCATCGCGCGGTTATACAATCGTATTTCCATGCTTCAGGCTGTCGACGACAAATTGCAATACGAGTGTGGATGCGTCGTCGGGATCCCTAAACAAATTGTTGTGCATGAGAAGCAGTCAGTCACCGAAAGCTTTGCGACCTCCGGCCTGTCGTTTCCTGTCATCGCGAAACCACTGCTAGTTGACGGAACGCCTAAGTCGCATCTCATGTGGCTTGTGTACAACGAGGAAGGATTGAAGAAGCTCTTACCACCATTCGTTCTTCAAAAGTTTGTCAATCACGGTGGTGTGATTTTTAAAGTCTACGTCGTGGGGAATCAAGTGAAGTGTCTTCGACGGAAGTCATTGCCTGGTATAGTGACACATGTGATTGAGTTTGTCGAGTTTCTTTTCCCAATATTTGCTATACGCTCCTCTTCCTTCTTAATAGCTGCGTTTTTCCGTTTGTTTTGTTATGTTTCGTTTCGAGGGTGCTCACTCTTTTTTTTTTCTGCGTTTCCGCAGATCCTCAACCGCAAGACCTTGCAAACCCTGATGGATTAAGATCATTTTGTCAGGTTTCCAATCTCCCCGGTTTGGGAAGGAAAGGAGGAGAGGTAGCTGATGCAAGCCTTTCACATGTGGAGCTACCGCCAGCAGATTTGATGATATCGATTTCTTCCAGACTGAGAAAGAACCTTGGTCTGAGGTTGTTTAACTTTGATCTGATTCGGGACAGGAACTGCAGCAGACGGTTTTACATTGTCGACATCAACTATTTTCCAGGCTTTGCAAAGATGCCCGGTTACGAGCACGTGATGTCCGATTTTTTTGCAAGCCTGGCTAAGGAGAAGAGAACTCAGACTCTAGAGGAGCCTGCCGCTCAGCTTGTTGAGCGAGCAGTCTGCTGTTAACGTGAAGTTTAATGCCTGAGTCCTGGCAGCAGCGATTATTCTATCTGCTGCCACTACAATACCGGTATGTCCCTCCCCTATGTCTGCATATTTTCTGTTATCCTTAGTGCTCGTTGATTAGTTGTTTTTTTTTCCTTGTGTGTGCAAGGTAGTTAAACCATAAAGCTGCTCGTGTGGAGCACACACAGGGACTTCTGTATATTCTGGCTCCCTTACTGACCCATCGCTGTAGTCTTATCGATGAAGCTTAGGCATGTTGTAATGCAAGCGTCTGTATGGTATAGGCTCTCAGAACGTTTCACTTGGTCCCTCTTTCTTTGTTCTGCCTGTTCTGCCAACTCACGGATCCAGCAGCCCACCAAACAGCACCTACACTTCCATTTGCCCACAATCTACACTTCAAATATACTAAGTGCAGATAACAATTAGTCTCATCGCACCGCGTTACACTCTCAGGATCTGCAATTTTGTTGCGTAGGCTATAGCAACCCAATCTGACTGCAGAGATGACCACTGTAGCTGATTAATCTCTGCACCAGCAGTGTAGGCCAAAATGGGGTCCAACCCTCCTTCCACAGGCTGGGCCATGGTGGACAGGTCCCAGATCAGAGCTTGGGCGTCATCTCCTGCTGTACAGATGTGACATGAACTGTGTGGTGCCCATGCAATTGCATTCACACATGCCTGATGGCGCTGTTGATGCGAAAAGCAAGGAGATCGGCATATGGGAGGAAAGGGAGGGAAAGGGGGAGAAAATGAAAACAAATTGGTGGGTCTAGTGCAACTGGAAAAGATCAGCTTGTGGTGAAAGATGGTAGACCTGTGGCGGGGAAAGGGTCTGGCCATCTGGTTGCGATAGCAGAGGGGGTAATTGCTAACCAGGGCTAACCAGAAAATGAGAGTAACAGAGCAGGACCAAGTGGTGGTAGCGAGGCATCTCACCTGTAGCTCCGCCACTGGCAAAGTGGGGAATCTTATATCGAGGATGACCACTTTGGGCGAGTCCATGAGAATGGTTGCCATGTAGCGCGGGTCCTGCTTGTTCCACCCCAGGCGCAGCAGAGGTGTCTCTGGCTGGGGGCTCTCGTAGATGATGGTGCTGTGCTCCTTGTCCCGCAGATCAAACACCCTCACTGACCCGTCAGCTGGAGAGGGAGAGGGAGGAAGAGAGGGGCGAAGGGTACAGATATGCATAAACGATCATGGGGCTGGGGGCTCTCGTAGATGATGGTGCTGTGCTCCTTGTCCCGCAGATCAAACACCCTCACTGACCCGTCAGCTGGATAGGGACAGAAGGAGAGAGACCATGAGGGGGAGAGAAGGGGTCAGAAAAACACAGAGACAGGTACAAATGAGCATGGGCTGGGGGTACTTGCAACAGCACAAATAAGCAATCTGCATTTTCACCTGAGACGGAGGCGAAGAGGCCAACTCCCCCCCAGGCGATATCGTAGACCTCCTTGTCGTGAGCAATGAGCTGTGTGTCCACCACCTCCTTCTCCATGTCCCATATGGTGCACGTGGTGTCGATGCTGTGAGGGCAGGGTGGGAGGGGAGGAGGGAGGAGAGGGTCGAAGAGACTGGGTGAACGGCATGTAATCCTTGCCAGCAGCAATGAGCTGTGTGTCCACCACCTCATTCTCCATGTCCCATATGGTGCACGTCGTGTTGATGCTGGTGGGGGGAAGGCGAGAAGGGACGGGGTGAGGGGGAGAAGAGACTGGGTTAACGGCATGGCATGCAATGCAACCGTCGACTAAGGTGACCTCTTTTTGAGGCGCCTCAAAAATCCACCACCTCCTTCTCCATTTCCCACATGGTTCACGCGCGCCGTGTCAATGCTGGGTGGGGGAAAAGGGTGGGGGACAGGCGGGAAAAGAAAGTTTCGGGCGCAGAGGAAAATTTTAATATTGGAAACAAAAGAGGGCAGCACTGGGGTGGAAACGCAATCCACAACACAACAAACTTGATTTCTTTTCCGTACCTGGACGTCCCGAGCCTCCTTGGTTCGGACTCGTTCCAGTCGAAGGAGGTGAGCGGCGCACAGAACTCGCTGTTCTTGTTGTTGTTGAGTACGCTGCGCATGCGCACGCCGTCGTCTGTGATCTGAAGAGAGAAGAGGGAGGAGGAACAGAATACACACAGCACATGAGAGCGGGGCACAGAGAGACAGTTAAGCTTGTTGTTGTTGAGTACACTGCGCATGCGCACGCCGTCATTGGTGATCTGCAGAGAGAGGAGGAACAGCATCATACAGTGCCTGAAGCGGGGCACACACTGCCACATTGCTGTTGTTGAGCACGCTGCGCATGCGCACCCCGTCGTCTGTGATGTGATGGGGAAGGATGAACAGAAACACACAGGGGTACATGAGTGAGAGGGCAGTGCAGTCTCAATCAGGATCGTTGCTGAGCACACTGTGCATGCATCCTCTTTCCCCCCCTCCCGGGCTCCCCGCACCTCCCCCAACCTCCCCCCATCTCCCCCCACCACGCTCTTTTTCGCCCCTCCCCTCCCCCTTCCCTCACCTGCCAAATCCTCAGGAAGTCGCCGGACGTGGCGAGCAGGTCCGGGCGGGCAGCGTCGCGGCCCGGGACGAACATGAGCTTGGTGGGCGGGTACGGGTGGTCGAACGTCAGGCGCGGGTCGCTCCTCAGCTCGCCTGTGTTGTCGTCTAGCTGGACTATCTCCACCTACAAGAGGGGGAACGAGTAAGGGGGAAGGGGGAGGGGGAGGAAGATGGGGAGGAGAGGGGGAGGGGGAGGGGAGAGACGGAAAGAGTTAGGTCAATGCGAAACGTCGTAGTGGAGCAAAGATAGAAATAAAAAAACTACCTCAGTCCGAGATTTTGTGCAACACGCTCACCTGTGCAACTCCTTAGCCGTCCGCCTTACCTTATTCCGGTAATCTTCTATGAAGCTTCCGACGGCGAGGCGGAAATTTTTGTCGGGACGCACGCTCCAGTTCATGCTGTAGACGGGCCACGGCGCCTCGTACGTGTATATCTCCGCGCGCTTCGCCGGACCGCTGTCCGCACACGCGTCCATCGCGGCGCGGAGCGGAGGATAAAGTGAGCCTGGAAGGTGCGACAGGGAGTGAATCTAGCAGCAGCGAGTCGGATGTGGCGGCGAGACGACTTTTGAGAGGATTTAAAAGCTTAGTGACGTCTCCGAGGATGAACCTAGCAGGCGAGGCGGACTGAACCTAGCAGCAGCGAGTCGGATGTGGCGGCGAGGACGAATACGAAGCGAATGAGCGTGAAACGCGCGTCGAGTCGCCTTGAAAGTACCGGCGACGAGCACGGGATGAGCCGGCGGCGAGAGCGACGAGAGCAGCGAGAACAGATGAAGTAGCTACGTGACAGAAGCGAAGGAGGGCATATACAGGCTAGAAAGCGAGGGAGAGCTATTCTGGATTTGAAAAGCAAGCAACTCGTTCGAATGAAGAGATTCTCGCGTGGTGGGAAGCGGTTATGAGCGAGGACGGACTAAAATAAAATACAGGGAGATGACAAAGCACGACGCCCTGAATGTCAGTCAAAATGTACAGACTTGAAGCGACCGATTGAGGCAAGAAGTTGGTGTCAGGGTAACCCACTGCAAAATGCAGTGGACTAAATGCACTAAGTCTACTATGGGTCCCGTCCCGACAGAAAGATACTAAATCCTATTTTACAGATGATTGAGAATCGACTGTCCTCGTTGAGAAGCGCTCCCGCTACTCCATTTCGCTCTCTCTAGACACTGATGAGTCAGACATGCCGACGAGTATTTTGAAAAACCACGGCAGCAGTCTAAGTAACGGGGCCGTAGAATGCGGAGAGCATGTGGTGTGAGGAGAGGGACGAGTCGTGCAACGGAGGAAAAGGAATTACCGTACATCACCGTATAGTACCTTAGCACATCTTTCTCGTCCCTTCTCATAAGTCAGGAATTCTTCAAATTTGTATATCACCTCACCACAATTTTCACTGCAGCTACATAACGAAAACGGGTAACTTTGTTTCACGATCTTCGCTGTAGCTTGCCTGCTCCGCAGCCCACCCCCAACCCGCACGCTGGTGCCTCCACGTAAGCCAAATTGAACGGCCACAACAGAGAAACGGGGACCACCCTCAATGGTTCTGTGAGTTTTCCCTCGGTACACAAATTTAATTGCGTGGTACAAAAGGGCGGAGTGCGGTAAAGGTCCTTCGTGGAAAACTGGACCCTTGACGGAGGAGAAACCCAGAGCCCGCCATTGTTGCACCGTCTCCTATCAACTCACCTCAAAACCTATAAGGCCAACTCGTTTCTAACACGCAGTCGCACCCTACTTTCTTTTGTGTGATTTAGTCGGCGCTTCTCTCATTGGTTCGCATTCTCTCGTCCTCAACCTAGCTGGGCTAAGCTGAACAGTCATTACGTTCTAGTCGTCCAACCCAATACGGCTTTCAACTTCTCGAATCTCGCATTTGCCTTGTAGTGGCCCAACACAAACCGACAGTTATCTTTTTATTCATTCTGTATTCGTTTTAGTCTTCCTTTCAAGTAATCCCCAAGCGACAGAATGACGGGAAAGGCGAAGCCGAAAAAGCACACGGCGAAGGAGCTCGCCGCGAAGGCCGACGCGGCGACGACCAATCGCGGAGGCGGAAAAGCCGGACTAGCGGACCGCTTGGGATTGGTCAAAGGCGGTCACGCGAAGTATGTCTGTCCGGTCTGCAAAGCGACGGCGCCGGACGTGAAGAGCATGCAGATCCACCACGAGGCTCGGCATCCGAAGCTGCCGTTCGACGAGGCCAAGATCACCGATCAGCACGAGGGCGTGGATCTCGATAACAAGGAGCGTCCCGGCGTTCGCGGGAGCATCAAGAAGAAATAAAACGGACGGCGGTTTTCTCATATTTCATGGCATTGCTACTGTCACGCGGTTGTGTGTCTTTGCTCAAGGGCATGTTGGTCGGCATGAAACGGGTTCGGGACGGTTAATGCATAGCAGCAGCGGGAGGAACGGCGTCAGGTGAATCCCACTCCCCTCCTGGAAGCTTCTCGCGACTAGGGTTTCGGCGACAGCCAACTAGCAAATTCGTCGGCATCGATTAACAAGACGGCAGCCCACACTGATGGTTCCTGGCATTGGCGTGTAGGTGTGACGTAGGGAAGCAGTCTGTTTGTTACTACCACAGCTTTCGTCTGTTACCACCGATAGGCTTGCAGGTCCCGTGTTCCAGCTGCTAGATTGCGGGTGCTAGCAGCAGCCGGATTCATTCCGCAGACGCGGCCCTCTGTTGAAACCCAATAGATTGCTTGCTACAGCTTCTCTCAGTCCCGGAGGCTGCTTTGCTTTGCTTTCAGTTGGTCCCAGTTTCTCGGCTGGTTTGCAGCTCTGCTGTGCGGTGCTTCAAAATCGTTCAATGGTTATTTTCCCCCTTTTTCTTCATGGGTGTAGGTAGATCAGGGTGTGGGATCACGGGACGGGATGGAACGGCTGACGAGGGTAATTGTTGGGTAGGCTGCCTGGGTTTGGTTAGCTGAGTCTTTGATTTCTGTATACCAGTTCTCAACTGACAACTGTGTCGAAGAGAAGCCTTCAAGTGTGTGACAAAATTGTATTTGATTACCAGGGCCGCCTACAAAATTGGCCGGAGCTGAGCCGCAGGAACATTCATCTGGCTTTCAGTTGGTGCCAGGTTCTTGGCATTAAAGCTTTTGTATACATTTGAAAGTACTGTTCATGTCTGTACAGTATGAAAACCGATTTCGCTGCAACGAAAACAAGTGAGCTTGGCGAGAGTCTTGGCGAAATTTTGAAGCCAATGTGCTCTTGGGGTTGCGTTGTCAGAACACCGGAAATGCTCTCGTCACCCAACTACGAATTGAAACTGACATTCTGGAGAATATTCTACTACCGTCATCGCCCGGATACGGTATAAGACATATATGTCTTATCTCGTACACAGGCAAAAATGCTTGAGTTATCTTGTAAACGGGATGGTTTAGGGTGTCTTATAAGTCTTATAAATGGAAAAAAAATTAAGTTGACTGTAACACTTGCAAAGTGTGTAGAAACCACCCAAAGACCAAATTCATTTAAACAGGCCGACCTCGGTGGTGATGCATGCAGCGCCCACACTTTCCACGTGAGGGAGCTGCCACCGCTGGCAACATTCCTCTGTGCTGGCAGCATCTAATGATGCTGCCAGCGTCGTTTTGCTGCCAGGAGCGCATGGATGCTTCCAGAACGCTGCTGGCAGCACGTTGGCAGCGTGAGGGCTGTCCTCTACGAGGAGATGCCTCGTAGAGGAGCGGCTCGACACCTGTGGATGGGGCACTCTGGCTGGGGGGGGTAGTCGGGCTCTCACTTCATTTCGTGCTCAAGGAGGTTGAATACTCGTCTCAACCTTGCTCTCGGCAGGCTCTCTAACAATGCGCAACAAAGTACTGGTAGGCAAGTCCTCACCTCGTCCTCACGTGCAGGTTAATAACCACGGGCGAATTAACTCGCCCGGCGATGGCATCCGTGTAGCCATGGCGAAGAACACGAGCAAGGCGGCAAGTCCTACCGCCGCCTCCGGTGTGAGCTGTGACGTGGACGACGGAGACGAAGCGAACGAGGACGACGCCGAGGAGGATTGGTCGGAGAACGGCCACGACGACAGCGCTTCAGGCGACGATGTAGGTCCTGCTGACATCGAGGAGGACGACTGGTGGAATCGGCCGGTCGGGAGCGACGACGAGGTGGAAGAGTGGCATGCTGGTGATTCCGACAACGACGGAGGTAAAGATGCGCATGGTAACAACGCGGAGGCAGCGGCGGATGCACAGGAAGCGGCGGTGGATGCGAATGAGGAGGCTGACGACGAGGCGGGGGCGGAACTTGAGACATTTGCGCCTGCGGATGCGGCCGCAGTTGCGGATGCGGAAGGCGAGGAAGGCAGCGACGACGACCCATGGAGCTTTGGGACCGACGACGACGTCCCGCTACTGAAGCGGAGGCTGCGCCATCGCTTACAGTCCAAGTCAAAGCGGGCCCGCGTGGTGCTGTCTGACGACGACGGTCCGGGGGAGGAGCGTCGCCCGATACTCACCGCTGCGGAGAAGGGGAAAGCCAAGGTCGCGGAAGCCCCTGCTAAGGCCCCTGCTAAAGCCCCTGCTCGTCGCCGCACAAGCAACAAGAAGCTGACATCCGACGGAGACCCGGGATCTAGCAAGGGTGCGGCTAAGAAGAAGGCGAAGAAGGCGCCGAATCCTGACGACATCGTCGTGAACGAGCCGCTGGGCAGCGACGATGAGTACGTGGCGGCGGCGGGCCCGATTCCCACGTTCCCTGAGAAGGTAATGCCGAGGGACCCCACTCTCCATAATCCCAACACCCGCCCACCTTCCCTTCGCAGCAAAGACACTACGAAGAAGCGCCGCAGTTGGACCGTGCGTAAGAAGCTTAAGTGGGCGCGCTGCTATCAGGAGCTCGGCTCCTTGAAGAAGACGAGCGTGGAGTCAACCGCGTCCATCGCCTGCATCAGACGCTGGTGTGCGGAGGCGGAAGCGGGCGTCTATAAGGGCGCGGCCAACTGCCGCAAGCGGATGCACGGGGGGGGGGGTGCCACTCACACTACCCCGACATGGAGGCAGCGTTCTACCGCTACATCTGCCTTCAGCGCGCTAATGAGGTGGCCATCTCGGTGAAGGACACCCAGAAGTGGAGCCGCGAATGGATGAAGAAGCATTACCCCGGCAAGAACTGGAACGCGAGCTCTCACTGGAGCCAGCGTTTCTGTGACCGCTGGAACCTGGTGATGGGGGTGAAGACCAAGGTCGGCCAACGTCTGTCGGCAGGTGCGTGTTGAAGGATTTCGTCTGGCGCTCTATTGAATGCATGTACCTCACCCAGTGTCTAACCATCCCGTGCTTTCGTTGCGCTTGTCCCGTTTGCAGAGTGCGCGAAGGACTGCGAGTCCTTATGGAAGTTTGTGCGCATCAACAGGGCGCGGCACAAAATCGACCTGGCCCGCATCATCAACGCGGACCAAACTCCACTATTCGTGGAGATGCCAGCCGAACGGACGATCGAGCACTGTGGCGCGCGCTCGGTCTCAATCCGCACTGCAGGCTACCAGAAGACGCGCTTGACGGTGATGCTCGCGTGCACTGCATCCGGGGAGAAGCCGCGGCCGTGGGTGTGGTTCAAGATGAAGAACGTCCCCAACAGAGAGATTCCGGAAGGTAAGCGAGCGTGAATTCAACCGTGCGACTGCTTGATGAGCGTGCCCCACTGTGCTGATGCCCGTCTGTCCCTTGTGTGCCTAGCAGGAATCGTGGTCCAAGTACAGGACAACGGGTGGATGGACGAGACCGCTGTGCAGACCTGGCTGTCCAAGGAGGTGCTGCCCCATCTGAACCCCCAGCGCGGCCAGAACGCAAGGCGGGCGATGCTGGTGTTGGACTCCTACCGCAGTCACATCACCCAGACCATGCTTCAGTCGTACCGCACGCACAGCATCACCCCTGCAGTCATCCCAGCGGGTTGTACGAGCCAGATTCAACCCCTGGACGTCTCCATCAACCGGTGCTTCAAAGCTGCTGTGCGAGCGCGCTACGCAAGGTGGTTCATGCGTGAAGGGATTCACCTGAAGACGAAGAAGGGTGAGTTGGTCCTTCATTTACGGTTTTATTCATGTTCTGTTTCGTGTCCTTGTCTTAAACATGCTCCTTCATATCCGTGTCTCTTACATCTCGCTGCCCCGTCCTCTGTCCCACCCGCAGGGAACCTGCGGAGGCCTCCGCACCCCGTGGTGCTGTAGTGGATCGCGGAGGCTTGGGATCAAGTCCCCAAGCAGATCATCATCGACGCGTTCCGCCACTGTGGGATCTCGAGCAAGCTGGACGGAACAGAGAACCACCTGGTGATGTCTCACCTGCTCGCTAGGAGCACCACCGATGTCTCCGCGGACATGTCTCTCGGGGGGACCACAGGCGACAACACGCGCCTGCTCAGTCGGGCTCCAGAGGAGGAGGAGGAGGAGGCGATGCAGGCGGAGGGCGTGCGGGAGGTGGCCGTGGCAACCGGCCTGGAGGTGTTGTACCAGGAGACCCCCAACTACCGCGGAGCGACGGCCGAGACTGACCGCATGATCGAGCCTAGGGAGACGGCTAGGCATGCGTGGCGAGTGCCAAACCTGGGTGTAGAGCCTGATGTTAGTGCAGGTGAGGAGGCGGTGACTGAGGGCGGTTAGGTAGAAGTAGAGATTCATGACTGTATGCATGTACCCCCCTAAAGTAGGAAAGCTAGCTAAGAAGACACCCCCTGTTTATAAGAAAACCCCTAAGCCCCTAACTCGTACACACAAATAGGTGTCATATATAAAGGCTAGCTTGTTTATAAGAGACACCCGTATAGTAGACAACCCCTGTTTACTATTCAACACTGTCTTATATCCGGGCGATGATGGTAATTTCTCAGAAAGGCCTAGGTATAACTACATGGAAGGCGACGAGGTGGCTAGCGGAACAGTGCAACTACTCGAATAGTTGAGGTTGAGTAATGACACACTTTATAGGTGCTAGCCACGACTAGGTCAATCAATTGAGCCCGCCAAACTCCCTTTAGCTGCAGCGCCGTCCGGCATTCGGACGGGCCGTCGCGTGGCATTCGTCGAGCGCCCCGTGCGGTATACGGCGAGCCCGACGTGTGAAACAAGTAAACAGGAATGAATGAACTAGCAGTGAAATGAGTACAAGTAGGAAACCCTAGAATTGTGTACCCCCTATAGGCTAACCCACTATAGCCTACACAAGCATAACATGTATAATGTTTGACACACCCCCATAGGCAAAGTGGGGGAGAACAAGGGGTCACAAGACCAGTCAAGCAAAGCAAAGCAAGCTCAGGGTGGATCACAAAGTCACCACACAGTCCGAGCACAAGAGGAGGGCCAGAGGCCAGTTCACATGCAGGAGTACAAACATATATATAAAACTAGACAAGCAAGAGCAGGTATATAGATATATATGTCACAGTACAAGTGAAGTCAAGAGGAGAGCAAGTGAGGCAAGACAGGCACAAGACCCAGCTGGGTGCAAAAGCGCTGATGGTCACAAGGCGCGAGTGCCTTGGTGAACACATCAGCAGTGTTGGCCTAAGATGCCACGTACGCAAGTCGCAGCTGACCACGCTGCTGCAGCTCACGAGCAAGGAAGTAGCGGAGAGCAATGTGCTTCGTTCTGTGCTCCAAGCGCTGCTCTCGACACAAGGCCAGCATGGCCTTGTTGTCTACGTACAGCACTGGAGGAGAACGAGGCGGCTCTCCAAGGTCAGTCAGCAGGTAGGTGAGCCAGCGAAGCTCCTGTGCAGCCATGGCCCCGGCGTAGATCTCAGCCTCACAACTGGAGCCGAGAACCGAAGACGAGCGAGTAGACCGCCACGAGACAGAGCCGGAACCAAGGCTGAAGGTGTAACCCTGTGACGACCGCTGCGTAGTCTGGTCGTCAGCCCAAGAAGCGTCCGCGTGGCCGGTAAGGACCACTGGACTCCGCCCTCCAAGCACTAGCCCCATCCCCGACGTACTGCACAGGTAGCGCAATACCCTCTTCGCTGCAGCCATGTGCTCTGGTCTGTGTCTCCCAGGAGCAACATAGCGTGCAAGAATGCTCAGAGGGTATGCAAGGTCAGGTCGAGTGCAGGTCATCAGGTACATGAGGCAGCCAACAAGCTCTGCATACGGACCACTCGACTCTACGGACTCATCCGAAGGCAGAGCTGAGAGTGAGTGACGAGTAGGCAGAGGAGTGGCCTGAGGCGAGGAGTACGTGAAGCCGAAGCGCTGAAGGACCTGCTGCACCATGTGTGACTGAGTCAAGGTAATGGTGCGGCGTGCTCTGTCTCGAGTGATCTGCAAGCCAAGGTAGCTGCGCAGTTCACCCAGGTCTGTGCACGTGTGTCTCTTCAGCAGCTCGGACTTGACGTAGGCGAGTCCAGCAGTGTCCGCTGTGGTAAAGACCAAGTCGTCGACGTACATGAGGATGTAGAATGGCGGCAGGGAAGTGTCGGTGCGAAGAAACAGCGACGGGTCAGCAATAGAAGGAGCAAACCCAAGAGCCGCAAGCGTAGTCCTCAGTGTGTCGTGCCACTCACGCGGTGCCTGGCGGAGACCGTAGACTGGCCGTCGGAGGCTCCACTGGGTGCCAGGAGGGAAAGTCCCAGTGAAGCCAGGTGGACGGCGAAGCCAGATCTCCTCGTGCAGGCTACCCTGCAAGAACGCAGTGCTGAAGTCGAGAGAGTGAAGCTCGTAGTCGCGATGAGCGGCTATGTGCAGCAGCACCCGAAGAGTAGTCATCTTCGGGGTGGGAGAGAAGGTCTGAAAGTAGTCAACTCCCTGCCGCTGACTGAAGCCACGAGCAACGTACCGTGCCTTGAAGACAGGTGGAGAGCCCGGCGGCCGCTTCACCCTGAAGATCCACATGCCACTGACGATGTTCGCCCCAGGAGGGGGAACCGCGTCAACGTAGGTGCCTGTGGACTTCCAGGAAGCCATCTCTGCATCCATAGCTGCCTGCCACTGAGAGGAGTAAGGACCCTCTACGGCCTCCGCGTAAGAACGCGGAGTCGGGATGTCTAGTGCATCCGGGTCTCCCTCAGGGGCAAGCAGTACAGACGCGAGATGAGGTGAAGCAGCCGCTAGACACTGGAACTCCTCCTGCCTGTCCTCTAGGACGTCCGTGCCAAGAGCACACTCACCCCCGACGGACGGAGGACAGACAGACGCAGACTCAGCAACAAGACTAGCAGCGTAGTCGAGACGACAGCGAGCAGCAAAGTCGACGAGCTCAACAACAAGAGCAGACGCAGCAGTGGACTCAAAAGAGGGGTCAGTGACGACAGTAGCAAGCAGACGCGTGACAGTAGGACTGGCAGCACGAAGAGAGTCCGACTCAGGGTCGGCAAGCGCAGGAAGAGAGGACTCAGGAGGAGAAGGCAAAGGGGCACGCAGAGGAGCAGTGGACGGACGCAAAGACATCCGGTGCGTGCCAGGGACAGGAGGAGGACGCTGACGCGAACTGCGACCACTAGCGCGAGCAGTACGAACAGGCGACGCGGGACGAGACGCAGGCTGACGACGCTCAGCAAGACCTCTTGTAGGACCAAAGTAAGGAGAGGGAGCAGGCAGTGGAGAGGAAGGCTCCAGCAGGGACTGCGACTGGACAGGCGGTAAACCCTCTACTGGAGGAGAAAGACCAAGAACCTGCTGCAGGAGCGGAACGAAGTACGGCCGAGGCCGCGCGGCAGCTCCAGACTCAGCAGGGACAGCACCAGCACCCTCAGCGACAGCACCAGCGCCACCCACACCTCCAGCGGCAGGACCAACAGCAGTAGGCTCAGCACCAACGCCCTCAGCAGCTCCAGTTCCAGGAGGACCCGCAGGTCGAGCAGCTCCGGGACCGGCAGCACCCGCACCCTCGACGGTCGAAGAAGCTCTAGCTCCAGCTCCAGCAGCACCTCCAGACTCAGCAACACGTCTCCAGCGGCGAGCGAACCACTCGCGCAGCTCCTGTAGAGAGAGTGGCTCCCGGCGAGACGCAGCAGTAGGAGAAACCCCAGGCTCAGCAGCTCCAGACGCAGCACCCCCTGGCTCAGCAGCTCCCAGCTCAGCACCCCCTGGCTGAGCAGCTCCCGACCCAGCACCCCCAGACCCAGCACCTCCAGGCACAGCACCCCCCGGCTCATCACCCCCAGGCTCCGCACCCTCCGCAGTAGCACCCTCAGGCCCAGCACCCCCAGTAGTAGCACCCCCAGGCTCAGCACCCCCGCGCACAGCACCCCCAGAGTCAGCACCCCCAGGCTCAGCACCCGCAGCAGCACTAGAGTCACCAGTAACCTCGACCGGGTCAACGGCGTCTACCTGGGACACACCTGAGGGGGCAGGAACCTGAGGTGGGAGGGGGTCTACCGGGGGTGGAACCGGCACAAGGAAGTCCGGGGGAGGGGGAAGGGAAGGAGTGCGGTAGGGGAAGAGACGGTAGAAGGGGACTGACTCGTCGAACGTGACGTCCTGGGAGGACAGATAACGACGAGAGGAGGGGTGGTAAAACTGCCACCCTGGGTCGTCAGTGGGGAAGCCAAGGAAGACACAGGGAGCAGCACGAGGGGACAGCTTGTCCGCAGACAAGTCGCGGACAAACGCCCGAGATCCCCAGACACGGAACACAGACGCATCGCCAACCTTCCCCGTCCACAGCAAGGCTGGGGACATCGCAGGCCTAGAGACCCGGGGGTGAAGGTTGAGCTGATGCGCCGCGTACCTCACCGCAAACGGCCACAGAAAATGGGGGGCAGCCGCATGCATCATGGACGTACGAGCGACATCCATGACCATGCCAATGCGGCGCTCAGCAATCCCATTTTGCTGTGGTGAGTCCGGAAGCGTGAAGGTCTGGCGGATCCCCCGTGCACGACAGTAGTCACGCAGAAGGCGAGAAGAGAACTCTCCGCCTCTGTCCGAGTGCAGACGCAGAACAGGAAAGTCCGAGCCGAAGCTCTTCCTGAGCTGGAGACGAGCCTCGCGGATCCAGTCGATCAGCACCTCAGTGACCGCACCCTTGCTGCGCAAGGGGAGGACTGTGGTGTAACGCGAGTAGTCGTCAACCACCAACAGGAAGTAGCGCTCGTGACCCTGCCCACGGACGGGGGCTGGGCCCCACACATCCATGTGAAGCGTCTGCAAGGGAGCCTCTGTCGGGGGGAAGTGGGAGGAGTGAGGAGTAGCCCGGAGGCGACCCTCGACACAGGGGACACAGGAAGGTCCTGGCCCGGAGGGGAGAGGAGGGAGAGACTGGGGAAGACCAGAGACAAGGACACGGGAAGCCATGCTCCGAAGACGGGGCAAGGAGGGGTGGCCAAGACGGTGGTGCCACAGGAGAGTCTCGTGAGACAGGAGGCGACAAGAACAGGGGGCAGACTCAGGACCTGACCGGGACGCAGCAGCAAGCACCTGACCTGACGCAGCCACCTGACTAGACGCAGGGACAGGAGGAGACTCAACGGTCAGGGTGTAGAGACTCGACCCCGGCCGACGCGAGAACGTGGCCAGGTGTCGGCCTGTGCGTGCCTCCGTGCAGTGGGTCACCCGCTGACTCGCAGGAGTGAACTGGTGAACCCCCACATCCTGCAGGTCCGCGCCACTCACCAAGTTCGTAGAGAACGAGGGAAGGTACAGACCAGACAGGGTGCCCGAAGGGG